AAACGTGATAGTCTCGAGTTCCTTATACTGGCTGCTGAGGAGGGAGAACAAGAAGCGCGAAGTGATCGCGCAAGAAGTAAAGGAAGTCGGCGAGCTGAGTGACTGGGAAGGAGATGTCGATCCACGGTGGCGCTTCCAATATTAAGTAATATCTTGCGCGAATCCGGTAGGACCGCATCGATTTATTTATTACAACCGCACGTTGCGATTCGAGGACAACCGGAACTTGGCCTTACGAGAGATCTAAGGAGGACTCAGCTCCACATCGAGAGTATTTTACCAAATGGTTAGCACTTTTAAGTCAATGAGAGGTGAAGAATGAGTGAGAGATTGTGTGAGGCGCGGATGATTGATACTTAGCTTGGGGATGCACCCTTTAGGCAGACGCGTTAAGATCACCAACTGTTACCAAAGTTATACATCAATGATCATTGCACTATTTGAGTGCCTACTTCCAAATCTTTCGTAGAACTAGCTTGCTTCTTCAAGCTTCTCTAGACAAGGGAACGGGCATTTCACCAAGCGGTAGACAAGACAGCACAGGCAGCACATACCAATCCTTTCTTCACCCAGGGTAATCACCGCTCGTTAATGCTGTTTATTACTTATACTGATGAATGAATAGTATGATTCGGATTTTTTGTGATGGTTAGTCTTAATAGCTGTATACCTTAGATAGGCGGTAGCAAACATGCTAACCGAGAAAGTGCTTTAGTAACTGAAGTGGGTGCACCGCCTGTTGGCTTCACTTCATGACATTTTAGACTAAGGCCAGGTCTGGGCTTTCTTTACATCAGTCATTTGTGCTTGGACGCGCATCTATAATCCACCCCGCGCTACGAAAATACACCACTAGAACCCGTGTAAGCCATCGAACGACTATCAGGTGAGACTCCAGGCTTTTGCGTTTCGTATGTATCTATCCTTACTTTGTAGTTGTAGATGAGCCAAGACGGACAGTCTAATGCACCGAGACGTGCAATATTACTGCGGATCGATACAAAAGTGTCATTTTGAAAATGAATATATCAACGGCATCTTGATTCATTTCTTGCCATGCTGAAATTGCTGAATTGAATTATTCTGTAACCGTTCGTCACACTCTGTGATGGAACCGCAAAGCTATCCACCATCCTTCTGCCCGACGGACGTACTCTTGCCTTCGCAATATATGGGAAGACATCCACCATTTCGTCGCACTCAAGTGTTTTCTACTTCCACGGTTTTCCTTCCTCTCGGATTGAGGCAGCCCTATGGCATAATACTGCGGAAAAGCTTAATATACAATTAATCGCAATCGACCGCCCTGGAATAGGAAAATCGACCTTTCAAGAGAATAGAGGTTTGCTTGATTGGCCAAAAGATGACATCGCTTTAGCTGATCATCTGCAAACTCGAGTTTTCGGGCTGCTGGGGCCTTCTGGAGGGGGACCCCATGTGCTGGCATGCCTCAGAACCATCCCGCAGGAAAGGCTCAGGGCTGGCGCAGTGGTGTGTGGCGTATGTCCCTTAGATCTGGGAGCTCAAGATATGCTATTTGTCAACCGAGCACTCTACTGGGCAGGGAAATGAGTGCCATGGCTGTTGTCCGCATTGATGGACTGGAATCTCAGCTATATGGCTCGAGATCTGGACCATCCAGACCGGTTCAGAGAGGCAATAATGAAGCAACTAATGGGAGAAAGGTTACCACAGGTCGACCAAGATCACTTTCAACAAATGTGCAACGATAAAGAGGCTACGTCTGCCTTTATTGAGGCTGTTCGCGAGAGCCTGCAAGAGTCAGCACGCGGGATGGCTTGGGAAGCCAGGCTCTTCGGTAGTGACTGGGACTTTTCACTCACGGAAGTGGATGCAAGCAGGTTGGTCGTATGGCATGGTGTGCTGGATGCGAATGTACCAATAGAAATGGCCGACAAGGCCGTCGAGATCATGAAGCCCGCTATTTATAATCGCCTAGATGAAGAAGGCCATGCAAGCCTTGGATTTGGACGCAAAGAAGACGTACTTGCAAGCCTGCTTGTGCAGATGCAGAAATAAATCGAATATATTCTGCATGCTAAGTCATTTACCTAGGACAATCTCAGGGCTAGCGGTAGTTCTGTGAGGACATCTTTGCAGATCCCGGCGAGTTTCTGGAGCGAGTAATCACCGTCATATAGCATTGTCATATTTATACCACAAAGAGTCATATATTAGCTTCAATATCCCATAATCGTAATTTCTAAGTTATGCCTTACGAAGAAGCTTCGAATTGTAATATACGTAGTGTGAAGATTGCGGTTTCGATAATTGAGCAGTCTGGGAAGTCTAAGCTTTCCATCTAAAATGTTGTTATACATCGTTGATATTTGGAGAATTACACAGTTGATCCCGCGAGACTCTGCCCTTTCCGTCTCATCTGCTCAATTTGTTGCTGGAAGCTTGTTGCATGTCAAGTCTTACTGTTGTAAGCAAATTCTCATGGCTGTTTTGATCACATATAGCTAGAACAGCACATTGTCTCAGGCTTTAGATGTTGTATCATTATCGGTTTACCTTTAGGAGTGCATTCTAATATTCGGAGTTCTTCACCTAGGACAGGCTTTAATTAGAACGACTAAGCCCAATATGTTTGTGTGCTGACTGATGGGATCGAGTTGCAACCGCCTCTTAACGGTCGCCAAATGTGACGGGATGAGCTTATCAACCGGGGTCAAAATGATCTATGGATCGGGTTACACCAACGGCCAATTGACTTTGCCTCAGTCATGCAGGACCCGAGCCGGCACTGCGCCGGCCGTTGAAGGATCAAAGGCCAGCCGACGGTTCCTTAAAAAGGAAGGTGAACGAGGGCCCTTGCTCTGTTCGAACATTCAACACCACTTTGCAAGCCTTGTTGCTTGCAGCGCACCGCACACCTCGTTCTTGTTACAAGCGATCATGGGTGTCGTTCTCCCCTCGGACCGACCGCTGATCGTCACCTGCCCTTCCCAAAGTCGCAGAGCTGCTCCCAGGGGCGACCATAGGTTGTAAACACAGCCAATCTCCTCGTTTGTGTGAGTGCATCTGCGGCCGCTATCTGCTGTAAGACCTCCTGTAGCGATAAGACTCGTGGTCGCAAGTATGGTTACATTCCCTCTTCCGGTAGTCGGTGCCGCAAACCACGGTATCACAGTTCATGACCCCGCTTGTAACAATGATAATAAGGTTGATGACGGACCTATATACGTAGATTAATTAGAGTTCACCCGCGATCGTACCTCAATCGCTTGTCCTTCTGTTGGTGGTCATCGAGGATTCTTCTCGTCTGGTAAGACTTCAATTTTCGACAAATGGCGGCACAGAGGCTCCCAGGCCAGAATGGTCCAGCACCATTTGCTGGAGATCCAGATGTTGCCTTTACTTCCAGTCGCCAGGAAGGTATACAAGCTCTCCAAGAATTAGGAGTGCAGACAATTCTCCCAGAATCCGAGAAACGCCATACTGGCGTACAAGAAAATGAGCCGACGACGGAAAAGAACCTCAATGATGAGATCCGGGGGATCGCCGAAGATGAAGAGTCAATGCCAATTGGTAAGGGCATGACAGCGGCGGAGAAAGTCCAGAATATGGAAGAGATTGCTCTCTACGCGCTTCATGTTGAAGATGACCCATCACTTAACCCTTGGACCTTTCGAACGTGGTTCTTAGGTGCGTCGCTATCTTTGACATTGACTGCCCAGCCGGGACCTAATGCATGATCAGGCCTTGGTCTCTCGGCGTTCTCTGCTACTCTGGCGACTATTTATCAGTTCAAGCCGCAAGGCATCTCGCTGTCGCCTACCTTCCTCTGCGTTATCAGCTACGTCTTAGCTCTGATCCTGGAGCTCATCCCTAGAACCGGGATCTTGAAATGGCTCAATCCTCATCCATTTAACTCAAAAGAGCATGCAGCTATCCTTATAATGTCCTCGACGGCGGCGCACTCTGCGATGGCCATTGAAGTTATTGCAGTTCAACGTCTCTGGTATGACAAGGCACCAAACGCTGCTGTCTGCATCTTCTTGGTGTTCAGTTCTCAAATCCTAGGCTATGGAGTTGCTGGCATGTTGCGTAAGGTATTGGTGTGGCCAACGAAGGTAATAGCAGATCAAATGTTTCATCTCGTCGACATATGCTGACATGGCCTTGTATCATGACAGTTTGTGTGGCCCGCCAACCTCCCCATTATGTCTCTTCTAGAGACTCTGCATCGCAGCAAGTCGGACACAAAGCCACAGTTGAAAGTCTTCTACTGGGCGTTTGCCCTCATATTTGTATGGGAAGTCATGCCGGAGTATATTATGCCGATTTTGACGGCTGTCAATGTTTTTTGTCTCGCGAACCGCTCGAGCAGTAAGCGCGTTTAAATCCTGATATGGCTGTCTGACTGGAATAAGCTAATTCATATAGTGGCATTCACTTACATATTTGGTGGAGGCAATGGTAATGAAGGGCTTGGCTTACTGTCGCTCGTAAGTGACACTCGCCATTCGCCATGACTCTCGGAGGCTGCTTGCAACAATGATGAAGAGATTCAAGGCTGATACAAGACTATTATCACAGTGTTTCGACTTTCAATACATCGGAAGCAGTGCTTTGTACCTGCCGCCGCTGGTGAGCAAAACTGTACGGATGTTTCATGAACGTGGCTCACTCGTTGCTAGACTCAATTCAACACCCTCATCGGCTATCTATTGAACCTGTGCGTCTTTTTAGGCATATACTATGGGGGTATCTGGCGAGCAAGAGACTTTCCGTTCCTGTCCCAACTGCTATTCTCTCCTTCCTCCAACTCTACATTGTACCAGACTTTCAACCAATCCGCCATCTTGAATGACCACGGCGTGGTTGACGACATGCTGCTTCAAAAGGAGGGAATACCATACATGGCTGCAACTTTCGCTAGCTATGTTTTAACTCAAAATTTAGCCATTACCGCTACAATTACCCATTTGTGTTTGTACAACTGGGATGACTTGAAGAGCGCGTGGTCATTCATGGCGCCTGGAAACTGGAACTTCAAGTCATTGACACAGCTAGAGACGTGGAGATTCCGGAAAGAAGCCCCAGAGCCATCGGCTGAAGAGCAGGAGAGGATGGACCCTCATCAGCGCCTCATGCTCCGGTACAAGGAGTGCCCGATCTGGGTGTATGGCTTTGTGCTTCTGATATCCATTGTCGTCGGCCTCATTTGCATCTACGAGGCCTCCTCCGGCATGTCATGGTGGGCCTTTTTGATAGCTGTGGCCATGGCGTCTGTTTTGATCTTGTTCATGGGTGCTCAAGCCGGCATGACAGGTTTTCAGCTTCCAGTGCAGCCGATTATCCAAATGATTGGTGCGTATCTTGAGCCGGGACGACCGTTGACAAACATGTACTTCACGCTTTACGGTATGTTACAAATCACCTGTTGACTTTCCGGAGTATGCACAGCTAATTTAGAGCACAGGGTACAACTCGGTTGGCCAGGGTTTGTTGTTGCTCAGGGATCTCAAACTCGGTCAATATGCCAAGTTGTCCCCGCGTTGTACTCTCACAATGCAACTTGTTGGGACTTTGGTTGGATCAATTCTAAACGTAGGTGTCAGCGACTGATCTGCCTGCCAGCTGCTAACGACAAGAAAAGTACTTCATCATGGTTTCCATAACCGACGCACAGCGGGATATCCTTCTGTCGATTCAGGGTACACACATCTGGTCTGGAGCTGTAAGTTATCTCTCGTTTTCTGACGGGTTTTCCTATGTTGATCACTTATACAGGGCCTACAATCTTTCAATACTCAAGCAATTACTTGGGGCGGATTGGCAAAGCATATGTACAGCTGGGGAAGCAGATATCAATGGGTCCCCCTGGGGCTGGTGCTGGGCTTTGTGGCGCCGCTGCCATTCTACATCCTGCACAAGATATTCCCCAAGATGTACTTCAATAAGATCCATGTACCAATTGTTGCATGGCATGTCGGCTGGCTTGGTAAGCCTTTTTTGAGTTTTCGTGTCTCCCTGATCACGTATAGGATCGAGCTAACACTGGCTGCGTGCTCTTCTGCAGTAACTGGCATCAACTCGGCGATCATCAGCTTCTTCCTGGTAGCATTCTGGAGCCAGTGGTACCTCAGGAGGTGGAAACCAGACTGGTTCCTCAGGTTCAATTATGTGCTGTGTGCGGGACTGGACGGAGGCACGCAAGTGATCATCTTCATCCTGACGTTTGCACTATTTGGAGCGAGCGGCAAGTCGGTGCCGTTTCCAAACTACTGGGGCAACAATGCCAATGGAAACCTCGATTATTGCAAGGTCGATCCTGCCAATGGCTGAAAAGGAGCTGCTTTCCCACAAGCATCCCTTATAGATGGCACAGGGAAGAGTCGGATATTAGAACCATTATGAGCGGGGAACACGCTGATGATGAGATAATAGCTAGAAGTTGACAATTTTCTGGGCTGTTTTGATGGGACCAAATGTCTAAGTCTACCTATATATATACATATGCCCAAAAGAACAATATACGTATTCTGGCGAGTTCAAGTTGGTTGGTGGCAGAAGCAATGTTGGGCTGAAGGGGGATCACGTGACAGCGTGTTACGCGTGTCGGTCTCCGAAATTACAGAGCGGCGGGAGTGGTGGGTTTCCCCAGTGCAGTGAGCCCGTGACAAGGCTCAGGCTAAGGAAATCTTCAGCGGGTCGCTGTCTCAATACGGAGGCTGGCTCGGCTGGGTACCTACAATCTCCTGTCGCAACGAAAGTGAGCACATCGCGTCGCATCGAATGCCTCGCAGCCCAATATACACGAATGGTAGATATTTTTATTTTATTTTACAGTGCGTGATTTGTATGAAAGGAAAATCGTGTTCCATTCACAGTCGGTTATCAGGTAGAGAAGAAAGGTGTCTTAGTGCCTGGATGATCCCCACACAGCAGAGATCGCCGCCGTTGCCGCGTGGCGGCTGGTGGCTGGGGATTTGACAGGCAGGCAGGCAGGCAGTCAGTCAGCTTGCCAGCCAGCCAGGAAAAGCAGGATCTTCGTCACCCTCAAAGCTCATCCTGTGACTATACAATACAATCCTGTCTCCCGCGTATTAATCCGGCCGCCACTGATAGCTAAGACTGCCAGTACATCTTGTCCCATCGGCCTCGGCTCTTGACAATCCGTCCAAGAGAACCAAACCTAAGGAAGCAAGTGATTTGACAAAATAACATCCAGCTACGGTCAAATAAACACATCAACGCTAACAAGTCTCCTTGTTCATAACCAGTGTTTACTACCAGTTAATTGCCAGGTCTGTTAGTGTCAGTGTCTTTCATTGGGAAGACGGGATTTTTGGAGGTAAAGTTGTGTGAATCGCGTATTCCGTTCAACCCGTCAGTCCAGTCAGTGAGTGAATGAGTGAGTGAGTGAGTGACTCGGTTGTTGCGAGTCTGGTTCCGTCCGCCCATCAAATCAAAGTCGATTCATTCAATTCTCGCATTGGTAGTACGCAGTAGTACGCAGGTAGGTACGAAAAACCCTGCCGTTTTTGCCTCTACCCGTGCGTGTCTCCATGTCGCGTCATTCTCGAAAAGGCTGCTTCTGGACTGCAAATCCCTCTCTGTATAGCACAAGATTCAGGATTCAGGATTCTCTGTCTGATCTAGATTTATCTGTACTCAGGGTACTTGTATATCAGACTGACTAGACTGTTTGACTGACTGATTACAAGTCTGTCTATCTTGGCTGCCTGTGGAGGCTGCTGTTGCTGGTTGTCCTACCAGGCCATTTTGGGCTTGGGGCGCTGCCGCGTCTTCTGCGCCCCGCCTCCGCGCGACTCGAGCCTCCGTCTCCAGAATACGCATTTGGTCAACCGAGACAACACCAACACCAACACCAACCAAACCCACAACTCCGAGACCCTCGACGACTGACACTCCCCCTTTCTCCAGTGTGCGTGCGTGCGTGTGTCTCCGTCTCCCGTGTCTCCCGTTTCCGGCATCTACAACCTGCCGGGTCAAGAACCATCATGGACCGGGACTCGACAACGACGACGACAACGGCAACCACTCTTAGACAACACGCCCAATTGCCGCGTCCGCCTCCTCCTCCTGCTTCTCCTCTGCCCTCAGTTTCTGCCTTCGCCGGCGACGCGACTTCTTCTCGTCCGCTTGCTCCCACTTCTGCTCTGCATTCACCCTCTCGCCCCGTCGCTGCCCGCCGTCCCTTTGCCGTCGACCTCCCCCATCTTCGGCAGCAAGACGGCCCTTCCAGTAGCAACTCCCAGGACACGAACACATCCAACGACACCGACACCGCCGCCGACCAGGTCTTCACCCCGCCCCTGAGCGACGCTGGCATGAGCGCCGCCAACGGAACCGGCAGCGGCAACGACTCCAGCCAGGAGTCCCAGCTCATGCACCTCTCCCACATCGCCGCCGCCCAGGAGAAGATGCACGAGCTCGAGGCCGCTACCGCCTCCACCGGCCTGTCCAGGAAGCGTATGGCTGACGGCGTCGTCAAACACACCAGACAAAGATCCAGCGCGTCTCCCGTCTATCATGGAGGTCATTCTAGGAACACGAGCGCTGTCAGCATTGCTTCCACTGCCGGGAGTCGCATTGGCGAGGTGAGTCTTGCTTTTACCCTGCTCCCGCACTTGATGTACGTTTTGTATTCTGACCTGTCCTAGCTGTCTGCCGAGCTCAAGACACGCCTCTCTTACGCCATGGTCAAGGTCAACAATGGTTGGCAGTCGCATTCTATCGACGAGGTCGAAAACTTGGCTTCCCAGGCCGCTTCGCCTACTTCAAGCACGTCTACTATCCATGGACGCCATGGCTCTTCTGCAAGCCCACAGCTGCATCTTTCCTCCCACCGGCCGACCCCATCCACCAGCACTTTTCCTGCACCTGCGCTGGATTCGGCATGGAGAGGTTCCCCGAACGCATCGTCGGCCATGTCACCGCCGTCCGTGACTAAGAACATTCCCGCTCTGGCTCCTCCCGTGTCCATCCAGCCTTCGCGTCCATCCTTGATTACCAGGAGGAACTCGAACCCCAGGTATACTCCGACTTTCCTCTCCAACTCTCACCAGGGCAGCCCCCAGACGCCCGCTCAGCCAAGCCCTCTTCAAGTCACCCCAGACCACCGGGGATTGCGAACACCTGTTGTCGACCCTATTCTCTTTTCTCCCCACCAGAATGTGCGTGAGCAAGACGCCATTGAATCATTGCTTTTCATGAGCAGCCCCGGGAACTCTGCCAACCTCAAGCACAACTTCCCCTCCTCGTCACAGCCCGTGTCATCCATGCGAAACGGCATCACTTCTGCCTCGGCCAGCCCACACCGCACCGCACTTCCATCTTCACAGCCCCGGAAGAGCCTGCCATCGGGGCGCCCTTCTCACTCGTCTCAGCCACTGCCGCATGGTCACTCACAGCCTAAACGCGTCGGGTTCGACAAGTCGCCCAGCAGCCTTAGTGATATGGATGTGGACGAGCCATACGGCACCCCTCATCATGGAGCCTACCTGCGAGGCACGCCTCGGAGGAAGGCCAATGGTGCCGAGGGCCACCCTGCTCGTCAGATGGCACCCCTCTCCATGCCTTCGGGTCTGGGGGCCTCCTCCAGAGCCCGACCAGCTCTTGGCGATGCGGACATTGAGCAGATGCTCGACCGTGTGGCCGCGGACGAATCCTCTGATTCGGAGGGTGAGATTCCACTACCGTTGTCGAGCCGTTCTCGTCGGGAAGGTGCTAGCATCCACGCGTGAAACATGTGGGGATCATGAGATGAGCGGCCTGATGCATGAGGACAGCCGATTTCCAAGCACCCTACCACCAGCAATCCACGTGCCACTTTAAATTTTGTTACGATATCCCTGGTATATTTTTCGGAGGTTTTCGTCAAGCAGCTGCACAGGTCAGATGATGATCTACCACGTACATATATAGAGCATTTGCAGGAGACTGGGCGGATATGTGAGAGGGAATACATCAACAAGCCCTTCTTCACGGGAGTTGAGACGGAGGTCAAGCCGTCGGCATCTGATCCCCTCTTTCTCAGGTAAGGATTTCCATTTTTCTTTCTTCTTATTTCTTATTTGACGACGTGACGACGACAGCATTTTTTGTTTCGAGACCTTGGGCATAATGTTTGTCATCTGGCCCGTGGGGTCAAATGCATGTTGGGACAGGAGTTGGTGGCTTGCTTTTATGGGCGCACGTGGATCGAAAGGCCCATGTCTGCAGCTTCGGATAGTATCATGTTTTGTACATATAATTCGGCATCATTAGTGATGCATGGGACTCGCGCCTTGGATCGGAGAGTATGTATATATATATATATATATATATGCACACACACACACACACACACACATATATATATCTCGTCACATGGGCAGAATACTACACTACAACTTTCAGGATTCTCGTCAAGCCCCACTGTGACAAGAGAGCTGCTCGGCGCGACAATGGGTGATCCAGGCCATCTATCTCACGGAACCACTGTGCCAACTGCCTGCCTAGGTTATGTATTGCCTATCGGATACCTAAGCTAGGTAGGTAGGTAGGTAGGTAGGTAGGTAGTCGCTGGCTGCTCCTTGCCGACAATGAGAGCGAAAGTAATGGCAACTCGATGCAAGGCTACCCCGGACTTTTACGTGTTGGAACTTGGAACTGCTGAGAGCGAGAGCGATGCCGGGGTATCTAGCATTGCTATAGTGTACCGGTAGTGTATATGCTATGCACTACGAGAGAGTAAGTAATAGGTGATCCAATGCAATGAGGCACCGTACTATACTGTCTCGAGACTGTACATGCAGTGCATTGCCGTGTGTCGGCGGCTTCGCCTTCGCTTCCGGCTGTTCGGCGCTCGCGCTGGCCGAGCAGGGACAGGTAAGGTGGAGGCGCAGCAGAGTCAGCAGCGCCCACTACAGGCCGGTTTCCCGTGTACTGGAGACTGGGTAGACACTGGCAGAGAGGCAGAGAGCCTTGGAAGGGTCTCAGCCTCCAGCCCACCCACCACCCATCCGCTGGAGTCCACTACAGTCCACTGCAGTCCACTTCCGGCCTTGGAGATGGCTGTGATTCGCAGGCCTCTCCCCAGCACTCGCACGCTCAAGAGAGCGGCTCCGCCCCGTTGGCCTCGGCAGCACCGCGTAAGCGTCGACGGCAGCGGCGGCGGCGGCTGCGTAACAGTCTTTCTCTCTCTCTCTCCTTCCTTTCTTTCCTTCTCTCGTTCCTTCTTTATAAGCTCTCTGGGTCGTCCCCACTGCTGGCCGGCTGACGGAACTACTGTACTCTACACCACCGGCAGATATCTCGACATCTCTCCTCAGAGAGACTCTTCACATCACAACTCTCAACACCACCACGATACAGCACTCTACATCTACGACGATATCATACAAGCAGGAAAACAAGGGCAGACACAAGTCACCATCCACCATGTCGGCAGCAGATTACTACGGCCAGTCCGGCCAGCAAAGCTCCAACGCCCCGCCGCCGCCGCCGCCGAGCTACAGCCCGTACCCATCACAGCCCTCCTACGCATCGCCCTCACCACAGCCGCAGTACGGCGCACCTCCTCAGCCGTACTATGCCGCTCCCCAACAGCCAAACTACTCCAGCCAGCATCTCCAGCCCTACGGCCAGCAGAGCCCCTACGAGCGCCCGACCTCGGCGCACTCTGCCAACGTCCCCTATGCCCCGCCCCCGCACTCCCCGAGCCCCTACGACCGTCCCGCCAGCGCCCAGAGCGACTATGCGCAGCCGACATATGCCTCCCAGTCGCAGTCGCAGACGGACCAGTACAACCGCGGGCCAGATGGCGCGCCCGGCGAAGACGGCGAGAGGGGCCTGATGTCTAGCATGATCGGTGGCGGCGCGGGCGCCTTCCTCGGCAACAAGATGGGCCACGGCAGCAAGCTCAAGATGGCCCTCGGCGGCGTGGCTGGCGCTGTTGCTGCCAACATGATCGAGCACAAGATTCAGGGCCACAACAAGCCCTCGCATCACGGCGGCCACTCCAGCGGAGGCCTGCTGGGCGGCCTGCTGGGCGGTGGGCACGGCGGCTCACATCACGGGTCGTCGAGCAGCTTCTTCGGGGGAGGCCAGCAGTATGGGCCTCCTCCTCCGCATCACGGGGGTGGCCACCATCACCACGGACATCACGGTGGCCACCATGGGGGACACCACGGCGGCCATCACGGAGGTTGGTAGATGGCTGGGCCGGTAGAAGAATGTGTCGCATAGATCCTGCGACCTCATGCTGCTCCCCTCGTGATTTTTAGAAGGCCGCGCAAGCGTTCTTGGCATTTTGATTTATTCTGATTACGGCGTTTCGGCAGCTAATGACCAGGCATGAGCATCAACGAGATTTTTGATGTCAACTAGCGGAAGCTAGGGGGAAAGGACGATATTGACGACACCCCAACGGTCAGGAGCTTCACTGTTATTTTGTATCACAAAGACATTCATGTATATAGTGTAAATCTAAAGCATGGTTCTGCATCTCGCGTGGAGAATATGCCAGTGAAATCCAGATCGAAGCGTTTCTTCCATTTGCCTACAATCGTGACCATCCTGCCATCTGGGCCACCCTTTCGATGACATCCGTCAACGAATATGTATCTGCAATACAAGTTCCAGTAACGCCTAACAACGTCCTGTACATGAGATCCCAAGCCAAAACATTTCAACCTTCTTTATCATGGTACAAAAAAAAAAAACCAAAAAAAAAAAGGACAGAGTGGTATACAATACACAAACAGATCCGGATAGAACACGGTTATACATCCTCGATCAGCATGTCGCAAGACCGATCCGCGACTTTGGAAACCTGAGGATCTTCTCCAGATGCGGCAGATCCCCATGGTTCCTCTCCAAGTAGAGGCAGATGGCCTGACACTCAAGCACCGTCCTGCGCCAGCTCCACCACAGCTGGTACGAGCAGGCCTTGGCAAACCAGTACGCCATGAGCAGGAGCGCCCCGGGATCGCGGGCATTGAATAGATTCTTGAACTCGGGCGTCATGTGTGACAGGAACGTGATGAACTTGAGCAGTGTGCTCTCGGTGTACTCGAAGGGCATCAGACGCGAGAGAATGTCCGCCGAAACATAGTAGGGGCTCGTCGCATACGATGAGGGGTCCGTCAGACCAAGAACCTCGACGAGCTCCTGCGGTAGATATCTCAGAAAGGCGCCCTTGGACGTGGAGGAGAAGAAATCATCGACACAGACGTCCACCAACTGCTTGAGGCCACTCTCAGAAGACGCGAGGTCGGCAAGCTGGTAGATCTCGTTCTTGCCCTCGCTCATGGTCAGCCAGTCCGGCTCAGTCGAGGGACGGTCTTTGAGCGGCCAGCACTCCTCAGCGTCTGTTGCATCGATGGAACCTATGCTCCCGGCGCCTAGGATGGTCGAGGATATCCACATGGCATCCTTTTCGGACCGCGTGAGAGGGGCGGGGATTTTGCTGTTGAATATAGCCGTTCCGTAGTACCAATGGTATAGTTCACTATGAGTTTGACGTTTGGTCTTGGGTGAAAGGCTTCGGTCATGCATAATGGTGAAACCAAGAACCAGATGCATGAGAAACGGATGCTATGAGTGGTGTCAGTCACTTATTAGCCCAGGAGCACAGAGCTATATGGACAAAGATATCTCAACTTACCATGCAAGCCAGTCGAAAGGACTCTGCCTGATACAGCGACCTGGTCTTATCCGTTCCTATGCTTAGAACAGTTCTCGAATGGAACTTATCAAGAAGCTGCATGTCGTCCATGTCGAGCTGGTACACCAACGCGACACCCTGGGCACTTGTGGGTGACTGCCTCAGGGAGTAATTGATCATGTCCATCATGGTCTGGTTCGTGGACACTGCAGCCTTCCGGGGTGGCTCGATGTGCGAGACACCTCCAAAGGAAAGGACGAGCTCACCCGTGCTCACGCCTCCGGCAGGGCCATAGTTGCAAGCCACCCCGTATTCCAAGCATTTCTTGCAACGGGGCTTGGCTTCATCACACTGAGCATGTGTTAGTATGATGAGTCCTGGAGTGTGCAGATGAGAGGAAGAGTGAAAATAACCTTGATGCGACGCAGCTTGCAGTTGCCGCATCCTCTGCGAGACTTGGTGTGTGCTCTGCGTTTGCGGTGGACGTCCTTGTCGGAAGGCGGCGTCACTGAGGCCGGCATCTCCGATCCGGAGCCGGGCGGCTCTCCACTCGAAAATGAGGAACGATACCGGCACGTATACGGGCTCGTCTAAGATAGGACAAGACAGGTCCTAACAGACTATTGGAAGGTGTATGTATGTGTGTATGTATGTATTCGCGGTGGTGACTGTTTAGGCGAGCAACAGGGCTACGGTTTTCCTGGCTGGGGGTCTGTACACCCACGCGGGCCAGTAGAGTAGTCCAGGGGTTCCTTCCCTAAGTCCGCGGCTAGTTACCGAAGGCGTACGTGCATCGCTGACTTTTCTTAGATGAATACATAGGCAGTGAGGCCATCCAGAGACAGTGCTCTGCGAGAGTGTACTGCGGTAGATGAGCGAGCGTTTGGTAGATCGGTGGCCGGCGCCGGAAGGCGAAGTGCGATGTTACAGTGGGCAAGCTGAAGTCCGCCACGCTGGGTGGGCCACTCGGCCCGCTGAAGTCATGATCCTGCAGGTGCAAGCCCTCGAGCCTGCGCAATTGGTGATTGGACGCTGTGCGCTTGGCGGAGATCTGCCGCTAACCCGCTTTCGTATTCGAGGTGTCGCTAGCCGAAACGATCATTGCTGTAACTCCGCCCTCATGGCCATATATCCACCCGTGTCTTCATTCAGTCAATTAGCGATTGACCACACACAATAGTCACCATATTCATGTCTGAGACTATCGTCTGTATTATGGAGTTAGAACGTCCGGCGGTGGCATATCATCATGGCCCGCTGGGCTCAATCTCCTATTTCCGGTCCATATGAACAAGTATAAGAGGGCATCGTGATGCGCCGACTTTTGAGATAAAGGCTCAGGATACTCACCACAGATATATATCTCGAAGAACACTCCTAAATCTTGAAGTTCTCCTAAATTTAGCATTTCGAAATTGACAAGATGTCCAAGAATACACCGTTGCCATCTCATATGCGCGCCTTGGTCACGGATGGTCCTGGCCAGCCCCTCGAGTTGAGGACGGTGCCTACTCCTGAAGCCATTTCCGGAACAGTGGTCATCAAAGTTATTGCCTCCCTCGCAGATCCTAACCTACCTCGTATTCTGAAAGGCGAGGCTGGCTTTACCTTCCCGAGCCCCTTCACCCCAGGCGGGCGGTCAATCGGCCGCATAGCTGCTGTGGGCATCGACACAACTGCCTTCGTCGAGGGCCAACTTGTCATGGCGGAGCCTTTCATCCGAGCTCGTGATGACTATAAGCTGCGGGTTTTATGGTGAGATATATACTTATTTTCCGATTATCAAGGTTATTGTGACACTAAACGCGATTGTTAGGGGCGCAAATGATGGCTTCACACCACGCGAGAAGACATTCATGAAAGACAACTGGTCGGCAGCGGCCTACGCCGACTACGTAAGAGCGCCCTTGGAGAATTGCTGGGCTTTGAACGAGGAGCGGTTTTGCGGAAAAGATGAAGACGGCGGCCTCGGACTTGACATCTATGACTTACTACAACTCCCAAATCAGCTCGTTCCATACGGCGGTTTGAGAGGCATTGGTGTCCAGCCCGGAGAAAGAGTCATCATCGCCCCGGCCACAGGCATGTTCACTGGCGCTGCGGTTGCAGTTGCAGACGCCATGGGCGCAAACGTCATTGCAGTCGGAAGGAATATTCAGGTCTTGAAAGAGTTGCAAGCAACGTTTCCCCGGATAAAGATAGTTCAGCTCAAAGGCAATATCGAGAAGGACACTGCGGCAATGAAAGCATTCGGACCAGTGGATGCATATATCGATATTTCACCCCCAACTGCCGTCAACTCGACGCATCTGCGGAGCGCTTTCATGGCACTGGAGCCATACGGCCGGGTGAGCCTCATGGGCATCCCCGCCAATGACAGCATTCCCGTTCCATACGCGATTGCGACCTTCTCTAGTCTCACAATCAGGGGCCAATTCATGTACGAGCCGAGCGATGTCCCGGCCTTTATCAAGCTTGCCGAATCGGGTTTGCTGAAACTAGGGAAAGAAGGGGGAGTGCAGATCGTCGGCAAATTCGGACTTGACGAAGTCGAGAAAGCCTTCGCTACAGCATCTGCGAATCCAGAAGCAGGAAGGCTGTGCATGGTGGTTCCGTAATACAGACTTCGTTTCCGATGAAGTGGGAGATACGGATTTGACGCTGTCTTTAGCTACATAGCATTTAGTTACGTTTTGGCTAGGCTCATAAATCATCCTGTTCTTCATAAGTGTGTAGTATACGAATTGCTCAATCTAATAGCCCTCTAGTCGCCTTTGTACGTAGATCATCGACGCTTGCTTGATGAACTCCTGCTATCAAGGAACCGATACTGAGCAACCGATGGTCAACCGGCTAGAAGCTAATCAGTCAATCACACTTGTTGAAAAATCATTGATACGGCACACTTCAATGCTGAGGAGCTTACGCAATTGATCCATCGCACCATGGCTCCAAGACAGCCACACTGCCAAACAAGTAAACAATAAGCGAACTGTAAGGAACCGAGGATGAGCAAAGGCCACGTGAATGTGCTAATTGCGCCATCTTCCATGCCAATCCTGGCAGGTCAGGCGGGGGATATCTTGACGGTGGTGGACGCCACTGAGCTCGGGGACAAGAGCGCTAGAACTGAAGAGGGAGTTGAGCAATTTCGTCGACCGCACTAAGGAATAATGACAACCAACTGAACCCACCTGGATAGGCGCAGATCAGCAGGGAACAACAACTAATTGCTTCTAGAAATCTTCCAGAAACACATCTCCCGCGTTCCTTGCAGCCTGTTCCTGGCATGTTACACAGATCAACTCGGGAAAAGGAATTTTTTACGCCACTTGCATTTGCATCGAGGGCATCCAATCTGGAGGTGACTCAATGTGCATATATGATCGAGATATCATAAGGGGAACTGTGCTCACCATCAACGAGCTTGGCTTTCAAGCGAGCATCGATCCAGTTAGCATTATCTCCCGGTACGCAGCCACAAGAATTCCCTGAACTGGGTTGTCCTATGTCTGTTTGTGAAACATGCAGTGCCAAGCGGCTACTCATCAATTCTCTAACTAGCTACTGCTAGTGACTGATACAGACAACACCGCATTGCTTTTTCTCTCCTTTTCTCGCCCCGTTACATGATCGGGTGTGTTCCTTGTGTGCCTTGTGCCCCGATTTTCCCAGCCACGATACTGCATGCCGTGGAGTGCCCACACCACCGTCAACACTTATCTAACAATGACAGCTGTCACACTATGATGCTCATGCATAACCAAGGCTCAGAAAATAGTCAAGATCTGCTGGACTAGCTGACTCCTGCATCTCTGGCGCATTAACCGTCCTCATCTGGGGTAGACACTGCCTTCTCCTGCCTCCCCAGAATGTGGACAGAACTCTCTGGGACTTTTATTGTCTAAGACTCTGAAACAATTCAAGCTAGCGGCCCTGATAAGGTGTGTCGACTGCCCAGATATCTTCCACACTCTCCACTAACCTGGCTGACAATCTGTAGAATATGGCTAGCCTGGAAGCACAGTCCCTTCTTGCCCAAGGTATGCACTTAATTTAAAGAAAAGATACCCATGGCCGAGGTCCTCTCATTCACATGCAGTAAACTTTTTCCCACGCCGTATCCATAATCATGAAGATTCTGTCGGTTGTTGTTCTCGTATTGTTGGGTCTCTTGGTCCAGTTAACCGCGGCTCAGGGCTCCGCTGCTGCATCGTCAGGTACTCTTCCAAGTTGTGCTGTCAGTGTGAATGCTCGAGATACACTCCTGATATACCAACGCTGACCGCCTCTAGACCGCTTGTCTCGCAACCGCTATACCCACGTCATCATGCTCATTTGCCAATCAAACATGCATCTGCTCAAACAAGTCTCTACAAGAAGAGATCGAGACGTGCGTCCTTAGATCTTGTACAATCAAAGAGACTCTGCGTATGTCAATGTTAGTGTCAGCGTGAATGTTCTCTCTCATTGACCGACTTAGACGCAAAGAATGTTACAGCTACGACCTGTCACCTCCCAGTCCGGGATCGCGGCGACCTGTATAATCGTATCAACATAACCTTCGGGGTAATTAGTGGCATCTTCTTCCTCGCACGGTTATATTTCAAAGTCTTCATCGCCAAAACAGAATTTTGGCTTGATGATTGGTTCATCATCGTGGCCTTCTTCACAGCGATCCCGAGTACAGTAATGAATACACAGGGCCTGGTTGCCCATGGCCTCGGACGAGACATTTGGACGCTTGAGTACAGCATGATAACGGACTTTGTGAAGTTCTTCTATATTATGGAGATAATGTACTTCACGCACGTCCCCATGCTCAAGATCTCTATTCTTTTCTTTTACTTGAGGATCTTTATCGGTACTACCGTGCATCGTGTACTGTACAGCACCCTTGTTGTTACTTGCGTGTTTGGCATTGTCTTCCTCTTTGTCGTTATCTTTCAGTGCAATCCAATCAGCTATTATTGGACACTCTGGGATGGTGAACATCATGGAACTTGTCTCAATATCAATGCAGCCGGTTGGTCAAATGCCGCCATCTCGATTGTACTCGATTTGTGGATGCTGGCGATCCCACTATCACAACTTTCGAGACTGAACCTGCACTGGAAGAAGAAGATAGGCATTGCGCTAATGTTCATAGTCGGTACATTGTAAGAAGGACCCATTAGACCCATAGGATTTGGACTATCAAGCGACTAACGTTGATGTGCAGGGTGACTATCGTGAGCATTCTTCGCCTTCAATCCCTAGTTCACTTCTCCAACTCCTCCAACCCTACCTGGGACCAATGGGATGTGGCAAACTGGTCGACCATCGAAATCAACCTGGGTATCATATGTGCATGCATGCCAGCAGCACGAAAAATCCTGCTCAAGTTGTTTCCACAAATCCTTGGCACAGGGACCACACGGAAAGGGGCGCATACCCCTTATGCCGGGGTGGAGCTAGCAGGGAATAGCACCCTTCGAAGAGCCGGCAAAAGCTGGAACCCTAGCCGTGCCGTTGAGAGCGGGACTGCAAAGCCTATCGACTCGAATAGGTCTCGAAGCATTGTTTGTGAGAGGTCGTACAGGGTGGAATATGAAGAATTTGATGAGCCGCAGCTAGGAAAGTGGAGGACCCGAGACTCATCGCAGGACAACCTCAAAAGCTGCGATGGTCACGAGCCCTGCAGATGTAATATTGACTTGTAGCTAATCATGTGGTTTTATTCTACCTTATTCGTTTAATTGTTTTAATCAAGAATGCCCAGCAATTGCCTTGGGTTGGTACAGCTCCTCGAGATACTTTTCTTCCTCAGGTGTGAGCTCTTTCCCCTTCGCTGCTATGGCCTCATCAATTCTTTGGACGCTGCTGAACCCAATGATTGGACTCGCTACTCGCTTGTTGATCCAAGCCAGTGCAACATGAGCCATCGGCCAGTCATGTTTCTCTGCGAGCTCCACGACACGCTTTATGATGGTAATATCCGGCTCGACTGTGCCGTGACTTCCTGGCGATCCCTCCTTCTCTTGCTTGCTTCGCGCCGTGCTTCCAAAGTCAGTTGGAGGTCGTGCCAAATGACCTCGGCAAAGCGGTGCCCACGGAATCAAGCCCACGCCCGTATCATTGCAAAAGCGATTCATCTCACGCTCCTCCTCGCGGTAAAGAAGGTTATAGTGGTTTTGCATGCTCACAAACTTGGTCCACCCATTGCGCTCGGCGCAGAACTGTAGTTGTGCAAATTGGGTAGCCCACATACTGCTCGCACCGATATATCTCACTTTGCCAGACTGCACCAAATCGTGTAGAGCTTTCATGGTCTCCTCAATCGGTGTAACCTTGTCGAAGCGATGGATTTGCAACAGGTCGATGTACGGCGTGTCAAGTCTCTTGAGGGACGCCTCGACCTGGTTAAAGATCGCAGCTCGTGACAACCCAAACATGTTTTGGTAGTCTTTTGACACCTCGATAGCATCCTTGTACGTGATATGACGAGTTTCAGGCTCTTCACCGACGGCCCAGTGGCATTTCGTCATGATGACAACCTTCTCACGCGGGATGTCATACTTCTTGATTGCTTTCCCGACGATTTCCTCAGATTTGCCATTGGAATACACATTGGCAGTGTCCCACGTGTTCAAACCTTTGTCGTACGCAGCCTTAAGGAGGGGAAGGGCCTAAGCCAGTAACTTCTATCAGCGATGAAAAGTCAGGGGAGATTTTGAATGACTTACCTCTTCCTCTCCAATTGCCCAAGATAGCGTCCTAGGGTCGCCAAAGCTCATCTAAAGCGTTGGGAGTCAGCATCATTCTCAAACGAAAATAGGGATAATGATAGCTTTAATGAATGCCGAGAAGTTGAATATATTCTAGTCTGATGTAAATGGAAATTGGAAAACTTACGCATCCGAAAATGGGTACGGAGACACGCAAACCACTCTTTCCAAGTTGCTTATAGCTGACCTTGGTCGCTTCGAAAGAAGCTTTCAGCTTCGGGGGATATTCTTGTGCAGACATCGTGTCCTCAAATATAATGGATTGCAATGTAATTTAGAAGAGAGACCTTTGGCGTATTTCTAACCAAAGAGTCGTAAGAATGGCTACCAAACTGCTTATAGGAACTTCGCAATTTGAATAAAAACGGAAGTAATTAATAAAAGGCAAGCGAATGCCTCTCTCTTTCGCACAGCAAAAAAAACCCTTAAGACGGTTCTTGCGATGTCATCACCGTTATCGCCGGTGCGGGGTCGTTTTTGGTTTGTGTCGCCGAAGACAGGGATCATGGACGGACCAGTAACAAAATTGGACGGTTAATATCGACCGCCCGGCGGCGGATCTGCTTCTTCTATTGACGATTTGCTTCGGGGAGTGATGGCGCGATTCCCACTAGGCTATTGCGCACTCGTGGCTGTTATTAGTTAGTGAAGGTGTCAAGGATGGTGGCTGGGCTTCACCTATGCGACGCCTCACTCTCATCTAGGCATGGAGATCACAAGGGGTTAATCGTTACATCCGCTATTACTTAAGCATCACAGGGAAGATATCTCATCGGTGACGGCAAGTAATACACGGATATCCTGGAGCCAATGTTATGGCTCACTTTATGGATTCTATCCTATGATAATCATCTACTTATACAAATCTTCTCGTCGTAGCTCGTCACTTCATACCACTACCGTCCCTTAGGACAGAGAGGGTAATTGCAGCCTCTTCTTCCTTGAGCAGCTGCTCTGTCGGGCTTAACGAGTCCTTCTCTCTTGCGGGGAAAGGAGGCGGCTGATGGAGATAACTGGCCAATGCATCCTGGTAGAAAAAGGGATTGTCTTTCCACCTATTCAGGGCAGCTGCTGTGATTCCCGGAGGACGACATGGCGTCTTTGGCAATGGCTCTATCGTCCACCGACCGATTATGTTAAGACTGATGGTGGACAACGGACCCCTGGTCACTGACGACGGCTCCAGTGGGGTTGGACGCGGAAACGGAGAGCTCACAGCTCTTAACGGCGAGTTGTGGTATTTGCTGATATTCCTGAGGGGCGGTAAAGCCAAACCAGCCAACGCCTTCGAGCTGGGGAGTGAAATTCGGGATGCCTTTACGAGCGGCTTGACCGAGTAGCTGGTAGTGTTCTCCTTGTCTTCCTGCATATCAGTTGGATGACTGACTCTCTTGCGCTTAGGCTTTGGCTGACTCTCAATAGCTGGCTTCTGCTGCAGTGGTGCGGAAGCTGGGTCTTCACCAAACATGGTCTTCCGCTTTCGTGTTCGAGGGTTGGATTTCACTGCGGCGGCAACAGCTGCACTGGGCAGCGGGCTGCTGTGAAGAACGTCGATCGTCTCTTTGAGAATTGGCTGCTTGTTCTCCAATATTGTAGTCGGCAACACTTCAGTGGCTGGCTTAGTCTCTATTACAGCAGGGGCTGATTTCCTGACCCTCTTGGGTTTTGGCGCGGGTGCGGCGACGATTCGTTGTAGATCAGCCTGGCTCATCGATGCCCGACCACCAATCCTCTCCAGATTACGCAAGATTTTGCAAACTAAGTAGGCACCGTTCACCTTGTCGTCGCGTATTGCCATGGGCCTCTTGGGCTCGGGTTTCTCCGGCTTTTCCGGCTTCTCAGCTTTCTCAAGCCTCTCCAAATCCTCGGTCTTCATAGGCTTCTCGGGCTTCGGCTCAGCGGTAACCTCTTGTTTCTTCTTGCCGGTTGGCTTCCCTTCGACTTTCAGTTTAGAACCTGGTGGGAGCCATAAGATGGGCTTCCTTTCCTTCAGATCGTCCACCCAGGCATCGCAATCCCATTGCACCCAGTAGTCGATAATATCGGACCACGTACTCTCGGCGGGCTTGGTGAAGTTGACGAAGACCACTTTCCCACCCTTGTTGTGAACCGCCTTGGCGAATTCTCTGACCATGACTTTGAGGCCATGGACCTTCAGGCTCGTTCCCAGGATTAAGAGCATGTCGGGGGCAAGAGACAGGTCGTGCTGAACAATAGGTGAGATCAGGTCAGCACTTGGATGCTCCTCGCCGTAGAGTACGATGTCAGGTCGAAGCTTTCCGATGCCTAGGGCGCGTTTGCCTCGTTCCTGGCGGGCTGCTGTTGCTCCCTCACAGTGAGGACAGGTTGGCTGTCGGCCAGAGAGGGTTTCGTGCTCACGTCCGTCGTCATCCCAGTTGGTGATTTGTCCGCACTGGAAGCACCGTAGAGCATGGAGGGATCCATGTAGGAAAACACATTCGACGCCTCTGTTTTGTGCTGCGCTTCCTCGTCTGTTGCCTTCCTGAACGTCTGCTGTATCGAGTACTGCCGCCGTATCACTGGACGGGGTAACTCCGCTTGACCTCGCCGACCGCGTACTGAATCGGCCACGCGAGCCAGGCCCGAGGGTAAGACCCGTAGAGAGGCCCACCTTCTCCTCCATCTGATCGATGTTCTGTGTGTAGCAGCGGACGAGCTTTCCAGTGTCCCGGAGGTGACTGATGAAGTAATGACAGCCCGTGGGAGAAGATACTCGGGCTTTCTGACGGAGGGTGGTGGTGAAGGCGTAGAAGACTGAGGTCTTGAGGGGGTCTGACCAGATTGAGACATCGAAAAGATCGCGCCCCTTTAGGTTTGGAAGCGTGGTACGGCTCGAGTTTGATAATTGTGAGCTGAAAATGGACTGTGACGAAGGTGGGGTCTCTTCGGTCTCGGAGCTGGATGAGCTCTCTCTGCTGGTGGGACTGCTGGAAACAACGATGGAGGAGTCGTCATAGGGATCAAAGAGAACCGGTGGAGGTGATGATAGAGGCGAGGAGCTGAGAGGGAACTGGCTCTGACGAAGACGAGGGGGGATAGGTGTACAGTTTATTGAGGTCGAGGATGAATTTTTCTCTAAGGGGAAGTCGTATGGGGCCTCATTGTTCAGGCCTTGGCTGGGTGGCTGTCCGAGTGAAGCCTGTGGCCTGTAGCTGGGAGCACATATTATGGTCTGGGCCGTGGACATGCCCGACTCGTCTTGGTCCACCATGATATTGTCCGAAGTGCTGAAGGCTGTTTGAGCACCTTCTTTCTCCTTCTCACTGGAACTAGGGCTTTCTTCCACGCCCCTGCCAGTAGACGCTGGTCTTGAAGCTTCTGAGCGGACGACGATGCATTCCATCTCTGCTACTCTTCCAGTGGACCCCCGAGAGGATAAATTTGGAAATATCCTGTGATCCGATGCAGATACCCTACGGCGCTTGGTGGGTCTTTCTGGGACATCGTCTTCCGAGGAATCAGACAGGCTAGGATTGCCGAAGGGTTTTACATCAGTCATGGTCGAGACGGCATCGAACTGGGCCTGAATCATGGAATACAAGCCATGTTCTGATCGGAAATCCTGCGACCAAGATTAGCAAGTCTCGCAATCACTGAATGTTTGACTATCGATAGCAGACTCACAGGAATTCCAGAGTTGGTACTAATGCCTGCTCCCGTCACAACAACCACCTTTTTCGACTTCCATAAAGAGTCCGCGATTCCCTGCAAAGGTTCGGCACAGCCGGGTGTGACGTGAGTGAACGGCATGGTGACGGCTAGTATAGAACCGTACCAAAGCTCGCGTGCTGTATGCTTGCTCGAGAGATCGGGATCACAGGCCGGTACTAGGTCGCACGCGATTGACGCGTCTGATACAAAGTCTCCTACTGTCCAAGGGCAAGCAGATGTGATCCCTTTTCTCCCCCTCTTCAGAGTACTCTAAAGTCGCAAGTGGTGTGAGGAGACGAGTCAGATGCGCTTTGTGGATATCATCTCGTGGATTATGGAAGGGCGACGCGCTGGTTCTCTTTAATTCAACACTGGGTTTTCTCAAACGGCCAAGCTCGACTTCGGGTTTCTCAGAGGAGATCGTGCTCGATGTATTTGTACGGCCAAACCAACACGGGGTCACTCTTGGGCTAGAGAATACGCTCGATGAACAGCATCAATCGTCGTCCATCAAGACTCGCAGTGGCGTAGTCGCGTATCCGGTACTCTGCAATTCGCCAGACGTCGAATCCCAAATCGACCCAAGAAATGGATGACAGAGAGCAATAGAAGGCTGTAGGGTATTCGGTGAGACAAGTCGAAGGAGGTGGCGCTGGGTTGGTAGCCCGGTATCGTCAGATCGCGATCTCGTCTGGCTGCGCTGGTGCTGTAAGGTAGTTGCTTATAGCGGCTCCGGAACCGTATTCGATGGAGATAATTCGCCTTTCAAGAGGATCTTAGAGTGCTCCGTAAGCTGTCCAGCTTCGAAACGCGTTGGGTCTTGCGGTTGAGAGGGTTGGGCCCAGCTCAATGCCTCACAGCCTGGTCTGATTGAGCGCGTCTCGTCTGGCAGTAGATGGCCCACTTAGAGAGCTCTGTCAGTGACATCAACAAAGTGAGTTGAGGATCACTCAAACCTTGCAATCCCTCTTGTACAATTTGCATAAAAAGACCATTAAAGCTGAGGAAGAAGAAGAACAACAACAACAAGTGCCACAAGAAAGCAGGCGACAGGCTGCGGCCAGATAAAGACGCTGGTATGGAGTTGGTGGTGCTCACCTTGGAGTCGGAATCCACGAAGTAGGTAGGAAGGTACGGGAGGTTAGATACATCCACCAGGTCGCGACAGGCCTGGCGCCCACCTGGGCAGCGAGGGTTGGTGCACGGACCACTGACAACAGCGGCCCTTAGCGTGTTTTCCCCCAGGAACGCGGTAGACAGGACCCTGTAGCTCTACCTAAGTACCTCGGCGGTATGAATGACAGCCCACCCTAGCCATGTGCCCAACAGGTTAAACCACCTCTGCCATTGTTCCCCTCCAACAAAGCAACAAAGCCCTCGACATTGGATTGATTGATCATGGCGATATCTTTGGCTTCGGATTTATCCAAGAGACCAGCTAGCAAGTCACCTGCTCTCTCTCTATCTATCTATCCGTCTATCTACCTACCTACTTAAGATGGTAGATAAGGTAACTAGCATGTGCTTCTCTTATGTGTGCCATGAGATGAACGGCCAGGCACTGTCAGTCACTGGTATGCTGGCAATGATTTGATTGATTACTGCCCTGGCTCACCAGGTTAGTCACAATGGAATCAACGAATTTACTGTGCTCTCTAATCGCCTCTGCCCATTCCAATTCACGGGAAGATACAATGATGGATCAATCCGGTTGTACATGCAACAAACAAGACAAGATAAAATGGAATAAATGCCCCCGCTCCCTCCTATTCTCCGCCAGTGCCTCATCACCAGATCAGTGGTGGACGTGACAGCTCCTCTGGCTGTGTCCACGCCGGTGTCTGCTGTTGCTGCTGTAGCTGCTGTAGGTCGTCGTCTTCCTGGATCGATGCGATGCTCTCGATGATGTCGTGGATCTTCTGCCGGACCTCTCCCGTGTACGTGCCCGTTTGCACGCCGTTCTTGAATGCAAATGTCATGGGCGCGAACTTGATCTGGAGCTTCTTCACCATCTTCAGCCCGCTCGGTGTCGTCGAGTCGAACGTTAGAAAGCGTGCGTCGAGCACCTTTCGCGAGTACCTGGGCGTACACGGCAGTTTCAGCGACAGCACTTTGATTTGCCTGGACGACGTTGCCGTCCTGGGCCTGGTCATAGTCTTGGTGCATACTCATCAAAGATCTTCAACCCTCGGGCGCTCGGCGGCGAGTCTGGCAGGTACGCCATGACGAAGACAGTGTCATACTCGCTCACAATGCCCTGAAGCTCATCCCAGCTGCTTGATCGTCAGCGTCACACAAAAAGGTAACCGCAACAGACAGGTGAAGGTGTACCTGAGGACATCAGCCATTTTTGCGCAGACTGGTCTGATGTTGATTGTTGCGCGGTACGATATGGGGCAACTTCGTGATTGATGCTCAACTCTCGAGATCAAGATGATGCCGAGAATGTCGTTGTCAAATAGCAAAATGACGGGCTGACTGTCCAGATCTTCGACATGGTGACTGGAGGCACGTTTCTCCTCCAAAGGCTGCCTTGTCAGTCAGCCCAAAGTTCATTTTGGGAAAAGAACACAGCCACCACAACCACCATTCACAGTCGTGTGACTAGCAATTATCGTAAGGATTTGTGATTCAGCCTCACCTAGACAGCCTTATCTAGCCCAAATCCGAGATCGCTCCGCTACGATGTCGGGAGCAGGCTCGGGAGCTCCTCAATCAATCACTCGCTACGTACGGCAGCCAAGTCCGCGTCCAGGCGCCGGGGGGTTAAGCTGCCTTCCGCCGCCACCAAGACCCTCCGGTTTTCCCGTCGCTGCTTCCGCTCTGACCGACCGGTAGGTACGGGCAGGTAATTGCATTGCATTTGCAAAGATCCAATTTGCCTGACGCTCGCTTTTCTTCACTTCCACTCAGTTTGCATGTCAACCTCATCGCTGCATGGGTCGTCTTCTTATTGTGTCGCTTCTAATCCAAGTGGGGTGCCTTACACTCTGACTTTGAACTGTGAATTTACAATTGACTTAAATTCCGACCACTTCTTCTTCGGAGAGGCAAACATGTCATCTAGATGATTCGTTTACCACTGAAATAACCTCTGCCTACTTTACATTTCTACTTTCAAAATCACGGGCAAGCGCGGCCTACAGGCAGCGTCAGGTTGACGAGGGCGCCACTCGGAGGTTAAGGAGAGGAAAGCCTGTGCCCTTGAGACACTCGTGTTTGATCTCCTTGTTCCCCACGATCGTTCAATTGACACCGAGTGAACGTCCCCATTGGCTAAGATGGCGAAGATCAGACCAAAGACCCATACACTCAATTCTGAAACCCTGCGCTCGCATCCCGAATGGCACGAGCAGTGGCTTCGGCAGACGGCAAGGCCTACCTGACCCGGCCAAAAAAAAACCCCTGACCATAAACCTTGTTCAGATCTAGAAGACTCGCATAATCGGTTGAGACGACAGCCTCAGACGTCGCACAATCTGATCTCGCCCGCTCCGTCGGGTTCCCACTTTGTCATGGAAAGTTCCGCTACACACTGCCTTTTATAATGTGGTCACTGTCGCTTAGTTACTCGTTCGGTGACGCTTCGCTTTACTTTGTAGTAACTTCCGCTCCTCTCTCCAAATTTCACACCTGCAGGATTGAGTCCGCGACCATCTGGAATGGCTTCTTTAATAAGGAATTATTTCTCGCTTCTTCCCATTCTTTTAGAACTGTCTGTTGTGTTGGCGCAATCCTGCGATATACAGTTCGACGGTCGAGTTTCAGCCGGTTCCGCAGTTGCCGACTTCGATGCCACGAACAACCTCTTCAGTACTGACAACGTCTTCGGTCAAGGTTGGGACTTTATTGCTCCTTCTATGATCAGACTAACCCTTCACTCAGGTCTCAAGTTCAGTCAACTTCTAGAGCTGCCAGCCGTCACTCCATCATTAGTGCGTTAGACATATTGTTCAATCTCAAGATCCCTGGTCGCTCACTAGCCAAAGTTCGACGTAAATACAATTCCAGTCGAAGTGACAATCAGGTTTGTTTGCACCTCGTGAGCTTGGCCTCTAGTTCAAGCAATAAGCTAAGCATAATGTATCACCCAGCGACCAGTCGATATTCGCTCCAAGCGCCGACAATGTCCAAACTGGTTTCCGACGGGCGGAATTACTTCCCGCCAGCAACTCCGGCACTGATCCTTCCACCACCGGCGTCAAGACTCTCCACTTCAGCGTCATGAAGGATGCCGACCGGCCGTTGAACCTCTCACACGAATATCAGCTTGTATTCCTAGAGAGCAACGACTTCAGCACGAACCAACTCGTCTTGAAGACCGGCACCATCCTAGGCCAAGCCACGGCTGATCCTGACACGTTGCAGCTGATTGGCAATGTCAATGATGGTGCTAACGTGCTATTCAGCACGCCTTTTGTCGACGGGGCTTTCCATAACTTCGGAGTTACTCTCGATTTCAATAACCTGTCAGTGAAATGCGCCTCTGGAACGACACCGCTTTGTCTTGCTAACGTTGGGCAGAACTACACAAGTCTTCTTCTCGGCGGGAACAGATGCTCTTGAGGCCGTCACCCAGCCGATTGCCAATGATGTCAGCGGCCAGGGGCAATTCCATTTTGGAGTGCTCAAGAAGGGATTGAATGGTGGGGACGATATCGTCAAGAACGGTGAGCAAGAGGCTGGAATAAACGAAGGCATTATTTTTGGGGGTATATTTGAAGAGGACAGCTCAACGGGATGCATCAGCCTTTCTCCTTGAGAACCTTGTCGATACCATAATTCGTCGTCAAGCCCCCTTGCTTAGCATATCAGTATATTAAGCGTGAACTCATGCATGTAATAAACGTTGATTATTTATCAGATGGTGCGATATCACTTCAAGCAAGTATTGTTGCCTAGGTTAATCATTATGCACGTTAGACGGCTAGCTATTCAAACGCTTCCAAGAACTCATGGAAGCTCCCGACAGTTCCTAAGCCCGTAACGCAGTCGAAACCTTCCGTTGCTGGCCATCCGCTAACCGACCCATCCTCGCCGAAGTAACAACCAGATCCTTGCCCGTTTGTGACATCGACCAGTGCCGCACGCATCTTGTCCGAATATAGTATGGGATTCAGCCAGCCGACCGGTCCCTTCCCAGCTTTCAATCTCGCATCGTTCACAAGTGCCACCATGGCTGCAAACACAGGGGTACTTGCACTCGTCCCCGCAACCGTCGATGCCCTTCCTCCCCACTGTATCGCGAAGCCCTGGCCCACAGCGCTGATATCTGGAATCGCCCTACCAGATGAGTTGAAGTATCCCTTCTTGTCCCCGCCACCCTCAAGAGCAGCAACATACTTGGTAGCTAGCTCAATTTGCCAACTGGGCATAGCAAAGTAATTGCTAAAGCCACCAGCACTAAGGGTGGCGGCTTTGACTGGTGGACCAACATTGTCGGTGGCTCCCACGGCAGTTACATACGGACAGGAAGGCGGGAATGTGGGAGTCAGTTGCTTCTGATGCCGTTCGTTCTTGGAGAAACACTGGGTCTGGCCCGTACCACGGGCACCCCCATCACCTGATGCCACAAGTACAGAGACGCCGCGAGCTGCGAGTTGTAGGAAAAGATCGCACACACGGGTCGCATAAGGCTGGGGTACCGAGTCCTCGTCATCTGCATAAGATATTGACAAAACATGTGGTATCTTATCATCTGATAGTGCGAGAATGCCGTTGAGGAACTCTAGATATGGTTCATTATCAGATCGTTCGAGCGGGTAAGGGTTCCCATTGGCATCGAGTTTTGAGCCACGACCCCCTGTGCCATAATAGATAATTGATGTCGGATATCCAAGAGCCATGGCGTACTGAATGTCGAGTGACGCTTCAATCCCAGCTGATGAAAGAGGATCTTGCGGATTTGTTCCATTGTTGAGGAGCTCAACCGTATAATTGTAAGGTGTCTGCGCAATCTCCGGAGCGTACCTGCTGAGAAAGGTTGAGACATCTGCGTGGTTCACAAACTGTTCCAAGAAGCCGGCAACGCCGAGTCTCACTGATGATGACCCTGATGATGCGGATGTGGTTATGTTGTATAATGACTTGAGACAAGCAGGGTTAACTCCAGTTGCGCATGGCAAGTCTGCTGCGGACGAGGCTAGATTTGCCGCTCGGACGGGCTCTTGTGGCTGTATTCTGGATGTCACGAATGGCATAAAGTGATTAAGAGGGAATATGAAGTCGATATGGCTTGCGACAGACGACGGGACAGAGTACTCTTGTGTCCGAAGTAATGGCTCACGATACTCAAACGTGTAGTAACCAAGATCGGCATGAAGCATAGAGTCAACCTGATCCACCGTAGCATTAAATCGAATCCAGGCATCTTGTAGCAACGCATCAGTGATATCATTTGACTCCAGCCAGCTGAAAACTGTCATAACTGATATTTGATCCGGCTGTCGGTAAACTTGAATGTCATCCTTTGACAAATGCTTGCCGAAGTCTGCATTCCCCGGTTGGCTCATCTGCAAGAGCTTGTTTCTTAGGGTCTCCAGCCCAGGTTGCTTAAGGGCAATTGATAAAGTGAGCTGATCACTGCCATTTGGCTTTTTGTACAACTCCCAGCCATCTGGAATGGTCGACCTTGATTCTATTATAGCAAATTTCTGGGGGAATAATGATGCCACTGGTCTGAGGAGTAGTCCAGAGAGGAAAATGAACTTAATCATCCTTCAGTATTCTGTCATCTCGTCACTTTCCAGGGACGAGTAGTTAATGACAGAATGTAGATATGAGAAGACCAAGAAGGCCATCTCGAAACTTTGAAATATGAGACGTGTCAAAATACTACACCCTAGGTTGAACCAAGATTTGCGGTCTCGGCACTCTCGAAAGTCCTTGTCGGCCAGCAGTGATAATTTTATTAGAATATTAATATGAGCTCGCTAGAAATTGCATCGGAGTAAATATTCGTAGTCTAGTAATATAATATTCTTATTTAGGTGGCCCGTTTCAGCCAATCCACCCCGCTAAATTTGTCATAGGAGCACAGTGTGCTTGCATTGACAATATCCGGGAGAAATGATGGCGGGCGAATGAGCGTAATCGGTATTGTAATTAACGACCTTTACTAATTTAAAATCGACCCGATAGAGATATCGGAAGTTTGGGATTCTCGGCAGACTCTTTCTACATAAATTCTTGGAGGTGAGCAACTTATCAGCATCCTATTCAACTGTATGATGTTTTGAAGATGATATCAGGACGGCCTCAATACAATAGCATCATCTCACGAAGAGAGCAATTCAAGGTAGGCCGACGATTCGAGATATCGAGTACAAGTAGCTATCACGTTCATGTTTCAACGCTTCTTTACAACTACGATGGTAGTGTCTATATGAGATTCCGACCTACCTCTACAGATGATCGCTTCAGCCCATCACGGTCAGCACCATTAGTTACAAACGGAGAAGCTTTCGAAACACCTGACCCATACTATAATCTCATGACAGCTAACCAAGATAATCGCAGTGATGGTTGTTGAAAGTCTCGATATACATACAGCTTGTAAGCCTAGACGGAGGGAAACATGAATTTGCTCATATCAAGATGACTAGTCCACTGGGAGCTCCCTGCGTGCTATCTTGACCGATTCTCATTGATGAAGATGCAAATCTTGGTCAGAACTCCTCGGCATATCTATCATCCGCCGTTTTTGAGATGCCAGATTCGATCAGGCCATGGAAAACCCTCCAAGGACCCTCCACTTAGGCCTAGAGAGATTGGGAGTCCTAGCCAATTGGGGGACACCATCGGCTGGACGTCCGAGGCGAGTGGATTGCCGTCCAACGTGAACACGAGCTTTTTTCCTTGACTTCTTGCGTGATTGATCTTTGCCATGTTGGTGATAAGTGCCCCACGGCTTTCTGCATAGTGCTCACAACGGAAGCCCCGCGGCGCCCACCACGCCGGCGCCGGCAGGCGATCTTTACCTGATCCAGTGCGGGGCCCGAGAATATGCCAGGGCAGCAGGGGTCTTATCATGCGGGGGAGCTTTTTGGGGTAGCACCTGCGTGACCTCATACCGAGCTCCGGCAGCTATCACAAGGGCCTTCGGTCAACCATGTGAAAGTCGCTGTGAAATGCTGTCTCCGTCCGGTCTTCGGTCGCCTGGCAGGGCGTCCGCCGCCGTGTCCTTCGAGATGCTGCCTCAGCTTCCCAGAAACAATCCACCCAGTGTCACACCTCCTACACGCCGTTCTGAGAGGCAGCTTCAGCTTGTCTTATGTCTGGAAATCATCGCCAGCTAGAGGAAGAAAGTGCGCGCGTGCTCACTTCGATTGGTAATATCAAAAATAGCTCGAGATGAGACTGCTTTCTTATCTTGGCGCCGTGCTCGCCTTGGGCACGCTCGCTTCTGCGGAGGACTGCCTTGGAGTTGCTCTCACGGCGATTCCCAATTGTGCACAATCGTGCTTTCTCAACGGCGCACCGTCTGTAGGATGTGGAGGGACAGATTTCAACTGCCAATGTGCGCAGGAAGCAGCTCTCTACGCTGCTGTTGAGGGCTGCGTATCGTCATCGTGCCCGGAAGCTTCCTATCAGGCTGTTATTGATGGCGCCTCTACCGGTAAGTTGACTAGATGGGTTGCCGATGGTTCCCAATCCCATCTATCATTCACCTGGATTGGTTTCTGAGGCTGACAATGTCAAGTCTGTGCATGCGCAACACCTGTAGGCGGCGGAGGCGGAGTTGTCGCTGGGGGAAGTGGCAGCGTGACTGTTTCTGGTATCGTCGGTTCCGTACCCGCATCTGGTACTGCGTCAGTGCCAGCATCTGCACCTGCGAGCGTCAGTGCTACTGCCACATCCGGTGGGACAGCATCGACGACGACTTCTTCAGGGGGCGCTGGTGGTGGCATCGGCGGAGGTGGCGTGGGTTGGACGCCTTCGACCGTCTCCAACGTTGCAACTGCATCTTCGATTTCTGCTGCGAATCACCAATTAGCTTATGACCTGCGATTTGTGAGCTATGTCACTGCTGCTGTTATTGCCGTCATTGCGGCAATATAGGGAGTTTCTGATGAGGGATCAAGTCGCAACCGAAAGGGTCGCCATGGTCTCCTCATAAAGACCCAACTTTCCCTCACAATCATACTTAAGGGACTTGGATCTCGGGCTCCCCGTCGAACCTAAACGTGAAGAGGAAAAGGGGATGAGTTTTACGATTCACTCGCCACTGGTTCTTCCTTGAGCCGCGCCAAACCCACAACCCGATCAGCCGGTACAAAAGCTGCTATTGAATGTAAATGCCGATGTGGATACAATTCTCTAGAGAAGCGGGATGATCCGACAGGACTCTGCCCGTTGAGGCATATTGTCGACTCGCTTCGGTGTATATATTTATTGCTAATTATAGATTTGCTCTTGTAGTCGTTGAGCTAATTATCGCACACTTACAAGTTTAGACAAGCAATAAGGCAGTTCATGTTAATTTCTCCTCTGCGAAAAACCATTGACGCGCTACATTCCGGAGCTTGTAAATTGCGAGGAAGTTCGTTGTGTCGCGATCTCGCGATCTCGACAAGGGGCTTTGCTCACAATGAATCATCCTACATTCATATGTTTTGTGTAGAAGAGCTAACCTACTAATTGATGGGTCGACTCATCTCATACAGTGCTGGCCGTGTCTAGAGTCATGCACTAAAATCCTGGGACCGGCTTGATCTAATATGGATAGCAAGCTAATTAGCGTGATACACAGATTTGTCAGCAAGGACCATTCGAGCCAGGAAGCCTAAATCTACAACATCACTTACCAAAGATGTCGAAAAAAGCATCTGAGGGATATTGCAGTCAGCCATTTTAACTAGTGATCGTATTGGCAAGCCCGGAGGTCTAGAGGCACAATGGTGACAGAAGGTTGTTTCTCCTTACACCCCAACATCAAGCACGTTCAAGCTGGGTGAACATGGACGATCTAACATCTTCTCTTAGACTACAACTTTCGTTTCGTCTCAATTCAGCACCCAGATGGCGTGAAAGATCATAAATCCAGGCGCTTAGCTCGGTCACATGCTATGAAACAAGCTCTTGAGAAAAAAAGAAGAATCCAAGCGCAATCCGGACTCAACTTTCGTGTAGCATCAGTAAAAGACAGTCGCAGTCAAACAGCAAGCAAAAAAAGACCCAATCAGGTCCCGACGTCATCTACGCGCCAATATACAAATACACTTGACCCATTCAAGATCCTTGCTGCCGAATCTGCAAGATTGCACACATGGCTTAGACAAAGTAAGCTCCTCCAAGGCGGTCAAGGTACCTCTCCCTAGCTTAGCTTCGCTAACATTCTAGACAACATTACGAGGAAAGACACTCAGCCCGTCTTTAGTATTGAAGAGGAGCTTGTGATACTTAATTATTGCACCATATTACGAACAGGCTTGGACGATCCTGCTCTCCTAAATGCCGCCTTGCTAACATTCTCGTTCGCGGCGACCGGGGTATTTGATTTGGAGTGTCTCGGATACCAAAGTGAAGCGTTAAATTCCATTCGAGCGAAGCTTAATCATCCCAGCGAGGCTGCTTCAGAATCAACGCTAGCAGCTATTCTGCTGCTAGCCGGTATGGAAGTTTGTGCATCTCTTTCCTTGGTCCCGCGCGGTATCCCAAAGCAAAACACCTTGATACTAACCTTGTCATTTCAGACTCGGCTTACTATGCCCGCTCAAGCTCAGCTCCATTTGAATGCGGTACAGCAGCTTCTCTCCATATGTCAAGCACAAGGTGTTCATCTGACTGATGGAATAAAACGTGCCATCTTCTGGTAAGCATCGATCTGTAAACTTGCATAAGTTATTCTAATACAGGCCAATAGGCAAGATCTAAACACTAGTGTCATGACCGGATCCAAGCGAATTGTCAATCACACAACATTCGCTGAGCTTCGGTGGAGAAGAGACCCATTTGCTCCAGATGCCTTCGCTCTACCACCTGGTTTCCAGAAAGTGTCCCACTTGCTCACCGAAGAGTTTGTCGAGTTGCTTAAGGACATACATGCCTTGCAATGTGTCCGAGATTCCATATATTTTGCGGCTGAGCACGCAATGACTATGGCTCAGATTGATAATCACCAAGCATCTATCCAATCCCGGTTGGTAGACCTACCGAAGACATCTGCCTTTCTCGAGTGCTGTCACCTCGGCGCATATTTATGTTCAACCATGCTGCGCTGCAAGATTTGGCGAGACTCAGTCGTTCCAGTAAGTGGTTTATGTGAATTGCTTTTTGGGCACTCTCGTATGGTCGAAATGGTATCTTTGATGCTGGAAATGAAACCCAACAGCTCCATATTTCGACTTATGATAAAGACGTACTAACTTTAGAGTCTCTAGTCTCATCTTTCATTGCACTTACACCGCAAACTAGAACATGCAAACACAGACACTGTCTGGGATGACTACCCGGATGTGCTAGTATGGCTTTTGTATATCGGCGGTGCTTTTGCTCCGACCGGTGATGTACGTGCGGCTTACACGGCTCTTTTGCGCTCGAACCAGACTTCTAGGTTCATAGGCCGCTATGGGACGTGGGAGGACGTGCTCAAAGCTTTGACACAATTTGTCTGGTCGAATAACGCATTTTTGTTACAAGTTAAGGCGTTTTGGGAAGAGGTGGATGTATCCTGATATGATAGCCTAGAATGAGACCCGATCAAATGCCCCTCCTGCCTTCAAACCGGACAATGACAATCTATTGAGGGCATTGATGGCTATCTCTAGCCATGCCACTTTGATTGGATTTATCACGCCGTATATTATTTGTCATCCGCTGTAGTCGCAATTCTTGTGGTGATGTTTTAGTAATCGACGCGAGTTTTAAGTCGGTAGTGACTGAAGACAAAGAACATCGCGTTCTCGTCTAGCACTATTTCTGGAGCCTAATAAAGTTTAGCTCCATCTAAAAAGCGCACTATACCTGAATAAGAAGTGAGTCTCTTCCTAAATAGGAAATACCTCTCATCCTGAAATGGAAATGTCATTATTCTTCAACTGGAAGCAATTCAGTTCCTCACCTAGAAACATCTCGGGTGATTTATTGGTGGGACCGACAGAAGTTTCGGAGCTATTCTAATAGATAAGTCTGCGCCATGTTTCATTACCTGACTATCGTTGGTTGTCTATCCACTATAACCTGTAGCAAGTAGATATAAAGTCCCATAATCCAGTTTGCTTAGTTTGCATTCCCTCATCATGCTCGGTTACCTTTCGATCGACAAGAAAATCAAGTCCAAACTCCTCGTTACACTCTTCAGTGCATTTCATACGTTCTGCCATGGCTGAATCACGTCTCTTCAAGCCCTTGAAGATAGGCAATGTCGAGGTGAAGCATCGTGTGGCGATGCCTTCACTCACCCGTCTTAGAGCAAGCGACGATCGTATACCGTCGGCTATGATGAAGGAGTACTATAGCCAACGGGCCGCTGTGCCGGGCACCTTGATTCTGACTGAAGGAACATTCATGTCACCAATCTGTGGTGGCTTTCCCAATGCGCCAGGGATCTGGAGCAGAGAACAAGTTGATGCTTGGCGACCTATCACCGACGAAGTCCACCGAAAGGGCTGCTTCATATACTGTCAGCTATTTTCCATGGGACGTGCGGCGGATATTGAGACGTCTACAAAGGAGGGTGTTGATATCATAGGTCCAAGTGCCATTCCTCATGAGGAAGGCGCCCCAGTACCTCGGGCCATGACAATCGAGGAGGTGAAGCAGACGGTCCGGGACTTTGGAGTTGCTGCCAAGAACGCAATTGAGGCAGGATTCGATGGTGTCGAATGTCATGTTGCCAACGGCTATCTGCTGGATCAATTTTTACAAGACGTCAGTAACACCCGCGATGACGAGTATGGCGGTAGCATCGAGAACCGAGCTCGTTTTGCAAACGAAGCTATGGAGGCCATGGTTGATGCTGTTGGCCCAGAGCGTGTTGGAGTCCGCCTGAGTCCTTGGAGCAGATTCTTGGGTATGAGAATGAAGGATCCGATCCCGCAGTTCACGCCTGTCATCGAGAAAGCCAGAGAGCTAAAGCTTGCGTATCTTCATTTGGTCGAGTCGCGAATCGCGGGTGCTTCAGACGCCGATAGCTATGATTCCAGTGAACGACTGGACTTTGCATATGAGCTCTGGAATGGGCCATTTCTTGTTGCGGGTGGTTATGACCCAGAAGAAGCACGAAAGCTAGTCGACGAAGAGCATCCAGACAAAGACATTGTGGTTATGTTTGGCAGGTACTTCGTTTCCAATCCGGATCTAGTATATCGGATCAAGCAGGGCATAGCGCTAAGCGCATATGACCGAGCGACGTTCTATGTCTATAAATCGGCTCTAGGGTATGCGGACTACCCTTTCAGCAAAGAATACCTCGCAAGTAGCCAGGCATAGGTGCATGGGATACGAGCAATGAGCAAGTGACGTGGAGTGAAGTTATATTATAGACAGGTCACAATAGACCATGTATTACCGTACCAATGCAAACTGCCTTGTTCCAAATTCTTCAGCTTTATATATGAGTAGTTTTCGATTTGGCCATTGAGCATTAATGGATGACTGAGCATTGTGAGACGTGTAGCACCGTTCGCAGGGTTGAAGGACGAGGTGAACTTCGAGGCCTTTCTTCACTCGATGCTACGGCATATCTTGGGTATGAGGACACGCTCGATGCCATATCGTGCGAGTTCAGTGACGACGCCAATTCCATTTCCTTGTTGCGGTCATTGCTCGAGTGAAGCATTACAAGAGATGAACTCAGTCTTGGAGTTGAAGTCGCGATGCATCACGTGGAGTGGAATAAATGAGAAGCTGAAATCCCGAGGGTCGCCGGGCTTCCGACAAATCCCCCCACTGCATGGCACGCTAAGCCTGAAGGAGCAGCAGCGCTTTTTTTACCGCATCCCCAGCTTAATCCCATCCATCCATCCATCCATCGGCCAACGGCTTCGTCGAGCTTTTTTGATCTCTTTTCATCTTCACTATCTAATATCAACATCCGCCCTCTCCAAAAGCCACCACCACCGCCGACTTTCTCCCGTCTCTCGGTGCATTGTCTGAGCAGCTTTTTATACCTACACACACACATCCGTCACAATGTTCATGGCATCAAGAATCCAGCGCCGTGCCTTCTCGGCTTCGGCTCGCAACGTATGTGACGCTCGCTTACAAGCTGTCTCCTAGCAGCTCGGCCGAGCTGGCAACCTAGGGAAGCTCCCAATTACCTGTACAATGCTGACATATGCTCTTCTTTAGCTGTCCAAGGTCACCGTCCTCGGTGCTGCTGGTGGCATTGGCCAGCCGCTCTCCCTTCTCCTCAAGCTGAACCCTCGCGTCACTGAGCTGGCTCTGTACGATATCCGGGGAGGACCTGGTACGTTCCCCGTCATCCATGCCGCTCCCTCTTTGTGATGCCCGACACCGGACTCACCGGCATGGGCACTACTCGCCCATCTGAACAACCTCAACTTCTGTCAATTGGATTGATATCTTGACTAACAGACTCTGCACAGGTGTCGCCGCCGACATTTCTCACATCAACACCAAGTCCACTGTCAAGGGCTTTGACCCGACCCCCACCGGCCTGGCCAGCGCCCTCAAGGGTGCCGAGATCGTTCTCATCCCCGCCGGTGTGCCCCGTAAGCCCGGCATGACCCGTGACGACCTGTTCAACACCAACGCCAGCATCGTCCGCGACCTCGCCAAGGCCGCCGCCGAGGCCAGCCCCGAGGCCAACATCCTCGTCATCTCCAACCCCGTCAACAGCACCGTCCCCATCGTTGCCGAGGTCTTCAAGGCCCGAGGTGTCTACAACCCCAAGAGACTCTTCGGTGTTACCACCCTCGACGTCGTCCGTGCCTCCCGCTTCGTCTCCGAGCTCAAGGGCACCGACCCCGCTGACGAGAACATCACCGTCGTTGGTGGCCACAGCGGCGTGACCATCGTTCCCCTGTTCAGCCAGAGCGCTCACCCCGACCTCTCTGCCAACGCCGAGCTCGTCAACCGTGTCCAATTCGGTGGTGACGAGGTCGTCAAGGCCAAGGATGGTGCCGGTTCCGCCACCCTGTCCATGGCCATGGCTGGTGCTCGCATGGCCGAGTCCCTCCTCCGCGCCGCTCAGGGCGAGAAGGGCGTCGTTGAGCCCACCTTCGTCGACAGCCCCCTGTACAAGGACCAGGGCATCGACTTCTTCTCCTCCAAGGTCGAGCTCGGCCCCAACGGTGTCGAGAAGATCCTGCCCGTCGGCAAGGTCGACGCCATCGAGGAGAAGCTGCTAGAGGCTGCCATTGGCGACCTCAAGAAGAACATCGAGAAGGGCATTGCCTTCGTTGCTCAGAACCCCGGCAAATAAGCCCGAGGCAGGCGGTGGCGGTTGCTATGGGTGGAGCGCGGTGGTTTAACCGGGGAAAGCTTTTCGGTTTGTGCGGTGTCGTGTAGTCCACACAATACCCGGGAGCAGGCCGTCCCGCTCGCTGGGTCGGCTTGGAGTTAGCTGGTTTCCCCCTTTGCCAATATATTCCTGAAACTCGCGTTTGGATGGGGGCGGCAGAGGCGCCTGGTTGGAAGGCCGGTTTCCCTCTTGCATCGGGAGACAATAGATAACCACTGTATCATAGCATCCGTATCTCCTTCTGTGTATTGAAAACTGTGTCAATTTCATCCACCCATGTAAATCTTACTACTACCCGGAATGGTGACTTTCCGTAAACTATGGAAGAGTAAGAAGACGTGTCTGATCATTTGTCCTGAGGGTCTATGTAATTGTGGGACTAAGTAAGTGAACAAGACCCAGAAAATGGCAGACATACAGTAGAACTAAGACAGATTGGCATTATTTTATGACATGGGTGAATCTACTCTATAAACAGAGAATCCGTCTCCTTTGATACATCTCTATCTTTATGTAATTACGCAGCCTGTCGCGAGTTTCGCCACGCCTGCAGCTGCTGTCGGCGCTCCTCGACCTTCCTCTCGAACTCAGCAACCTTCTCCAGCCTCTTCTGCTCCTCCTCAACCTCCTTGAGCTTCGCCTCACCCTCCTTTCTGATTCTCTCACGCTCGAGCTGATCAGGTCTACGCTCAGCAATGTCTCGTGGACGGAAATCTGAAAACAGTCTCTTGAGAACGACCTCAATGACATAGCACGACGCATAGTCAATGACCATCACTGTAGTCATGGTCGTCTTGAACTCATCGCTGAATGACACAAGCTTCATCTGCTCATTTAGTTCGGGGATAAGCTCGGTGGAGCAAGCGAAGGCAATGGCGGTCACACCAACGATACCGTAGAACATGCCCCTGTTTTCGGACAGAGACTCTCGGAATGGTCGACCCTGGTAGTTCACAGCAAAGGTGCTGATCTGCTGGATAAGCTGTAGAAGATAGACCGCACTGTTCAGGAGCGAAGGCTTGAATTCAGCCTCAAGGTCAACCATTTCGGATCGGCTGCAAACATCGTTAGCAAGACGTTTTGGGGTTTAGTTGTTTTCATGGGTACTTACGGCTCAAGCTTGTCACAGAATCGGGCAATGTAAATCAACGTGACGATGTGGACCGCGAACTGGCCCAGGATCGAGCCAATGATGTAGAAATTGAAAATGTTCGGCTGGGGTCGTTCCTTTGATAGACCTTCGACGGACTTGGCTCGAGATATGGAGAGGAAGCACACACTCATGAGCATACCACTGATAGTATACTGTCCATCGCCGAACTTAATGCCTTCCAGGTAAAGAACACTCAAACTGTAGGCGCTGATAAGACAGTTCAGGGCAAGAATCTTGTACATCTGAATCGTGGCAACGAGAGTGCATCGGCCTTGACGGATGATGTTGGGAATAGCGATGACATTGCGAAGCTTGGAGGTGAAGGGTGCCGCCACTGATGCATCACCCAACTTGAGGGTTGGCGGTTCGTCTTCGCTTAGCTCATTATCCATCATGCTCTGAGTAAGTTTGTCAGCGAAGCTGGCTGCCTTCTTTGCGGCTTCGGCTTGCTTGGCTTGTCGAGGATCAGAGTTCAATAGCTGCTGAGCGCCAGCAGAAGTGATTGTCTCCATTTGTGCATTGCCGTTGGCTTTGGCATACTCCTCAGGTGACACACCCTTCTTCTGCGCTTCACGCTCAATAGCTTTCTGGTAGTGGGGGTTGGACGGTCCAGGTGGGTAGAGATGAGCGATCATGACAGGCACAGGGGGGGCTGGCTGGTTGAAGCGCTTCATCAGGTCCACCTGCTTCTGGTACAGTTCCTTCATCTTGGTGTTGCGAGCATGGTCTGCAATGCGAGTAAGATCCTCCTGGGTTCCGTTGAGAAGGGCAACACCAATGTGTGCCTGCTTCAGGGCTCCGACATCGTTGGTTCCATCACCAGCCATGAGAGTGTAATAGCCCATATCCTTATAACCCAGTAGCAATTCTTCTTTCTGCTTGGGAGAAACACGAGCATAAACCCAGACGTAACGCAAAATCTGTTTCCACCCAACTTGGCCCTGGAATTTAGCGAGAGCGTAACCGGTGACACAGAGGTCGTAATTCATTAGAATATTCGAGTCAATGGGTTTGGTAGCATCGACATCGATGCTTGTGTGACCATCCACGCTGTGCCATATGAGCTTATCGCCAGCGGCGTTGTTATGCTCCGGTGCGTCCAAGATCAAGACATCGCGATCAACAATCTCAACCTCCCTTGCGACATGCACGGCGGTAAGAGGATTGTCACCAGTGATCATGACAACACGATGGCTGCTCTCATTAAGCATCTGCACCGCCTGTTTGGCGTCATCCTTGAGAGGAGTGTGAAGAACCAGGAAGCCGGCAAAAGTGAGCCCAGCTTCGACATTTTCTCTCTTCAAGTCGTTGATCTTGTGCGCACCCAGCTCATTGTCAGTGGTCAGTTGCTTGTATGCCAGTGCCAGCACGCGAGAACCTCTGCGAGTGAAGTACTTGTACGTTTCTTCGTAATCCGCAGGAACCTTGACCAGCATTTTTAGGATCGTTTCTGGCGCTCCCTTAACTCCAACAAATGTTCCTTGGATTCGCTGTCCTGTCTTAGGATCTTTACCGTGAACAGTTGCAACAGAGCTTTGTCTCTTCAAAGCCGATGAAAATTGGAAGCGACGCTTGATCTGAACAGAACCAGTAGTACCACCAGCTGCGGCAATGGCAGGCTTATGGGACAGAGTATCGTTCTTTCCCAAGTTCCAGCCTAGTGCCCCCAGAGTGGCTTTCTCCATAGGATCACCAACAACCTCACCCTCGTCCAATCTCACAAGCGCATGTGCCGTTGCGAGAACCAGAGTTGTCTCCAATCCAGCCTCGTGGACTGCGGTCATATGGCTGTGGGCACCATCCGACTCTCGTGGGGTGTCGGTCCCAGATTCAGGATGAGTCAATCCGAGCCCGGCAATGCCCTCTACCACGAGATCTTCGCCTGTTAGGGTTCCTGTTTTATCAAAGCATGCAACATCAACTCGTCCAGCAAACGGAATGCGGAAAGGCTCCGTGCAGAAGATAGCGTATTTAGCAAGAGCAGCCAAACTGGTATTCACCGCAAGGCTGAGTTCCATGGGAAGCTCAGGAGGCACCACGCTCGTGATAATGAGAATACAATCGAGTAGAAGCTTAGACCTCTTTCTGTCCTTTCTGACACCTTCGTCCCAGACGTACCACGAGGCTGCAAGGGCGAAGATGAGGAGAAACAAAATGAACAGAAGGGCCTCGACATTGTTGGCAGAAACACGCTCGGTTGAGTAGATCATGGTGCGAACCAGGCTGCCTTGAGACGTCTCGAATCCTGTCTTAATGATGATTGCCATGGCACCCTTATCAGGCGGCGGTGGAACTCCTGAAGCAACGGCTACCTTCTCCTCGCCAGCCGTACCATGCGTGATTTGCAAAACCTTGGTGCCACCCCAGAGGAAGGCGTTCTTGTCCAAGCCTTCGGAATCGATAGGGACGTCACCGGGGCGAAGCTGGACGGACTCTTTGAGCAGGGGCGTGCTCTCGCCAGACAACATGGCCTCGTTGACGATCGCGGTACCTTCGACGAGAAGCATGTCACATGCAACACCACTGTCTTCCTTTGTTCGGTTGACAGATACGAGGTCTCCGGGAAGCAATTTATCGCTGAAGATCTCGGTCCACTTGCCTAGGCGGTACACCCACATCTCGTACGGCTTGATGCTCATTGCGCGGAACTCATTCATGGTGCGCTGGCGCTGCCACACCACTGTGCTCTCGAAGGCAACCAGCATGAACAGAGTGAAGAGGGAATAGTACCAGTATTCATCCAACAGCCAGAGGCCAACGCAGAAAATCTGAAAAACGAAGAATGGCGCAACGGCATGTTCCTTGAAGAGCTCGGTAAAGGTAGGAACTGGGATATCGAAAGTGTTGGTCCCATAGTGCTGCTCCAACCTTGTAAGCTCGGCGGCGCTCGTGATACCCTTGGACTTTTGGAAACTCGAGAGGAGAGGTGCGGGCTCGGCGTCGATAACATAGGTCAGGGCACGGAAAGACTTCGTGTCTGGGTAATAGAGAAAGCGTCGCTTCTGGAAAAGGAAAGACACATTCACCTTGTCGCCAACCTAGTTTGATGTAAGTCTTCATGATACACACCACAAGAAGGAAAATAGTATACCTTGTCCCGCGACAACTTGCAGATGTCGGCTATGCCGGCATTTGCGATGGGGATGACCTTGATGAGCTCAGCTTCTTCGACGGATTTGACCTTGGACGCTGTGAAGATGGCCCTCAGGTTGACACTCCAATGAGTACATAGCCAGACCAGACTTTGGAGGGTGATGATGGTGCCCGACCAGACAAACGTCCACTCTTGTGCGCCAAGGTAGCGTTCGTACAGGTCCGGGGTCAGGTAGAAGGCGAGGAAAATGGGCCAAAGGATGGTGAAGGGCCATACGTAGGCATGCAGAGCAGTCGGCTTGGGTGTCAGGAGCTCGGCATACTTGATCTGGGGGTTGTCGACGAGAGAAGGCGCCATGATGGCGGACGCTGCAGAGCTACTCGCCCGCCGAGAGAAGTTGAAAAGGAGAGTAAGAGGGGAAGTCTATACGAACGGACAGCGCATCAAGGCAGATGCAGCTCCAGCGGGTTCAATTCCTGATCTCGATGATGTGATGAGGCCGAAGATGCAAGAATCTGAAAAGAAGAATGAAGAAGAACTAAACAAAAAGGTGGCAGCAGCGAGAAGCAGCTGATGACGAAAGTGCTGCAGTTCTGCTATGTGCGCCGTGTGTGTACAGGTAAGGTTATTTCGCGGTTATCTGTACTTTACTTGGGCCTACCTCGTTTTTTTCCGTCCGTGTGGAGGCCACTTTTCTGAGCTTCCACTTCAGGCAGGGACCGACCGCGCGCGCGCACGTCTCCCCACCCACGGTAGCACTACAGATCTCTGCCAGCTGGCCGCCACTTGGTCAAGTTTGGACGTATTTTCGATCCATCTCATCCAAGACACTTCACAACGCTTTCGGTTTGGCAACACATGGGCTTTTCAGCTGCTAGTAGATGATCATTAGGCGAGCTAGTCTACACAGCAACAAGATATTAAAGTGAATAGCACCAGCAGAGACCAGGCTCTCTTATTTCTTGCCCTTGAAAGTCGAGCCGATCTCCCCAGTCTTGATGTTGGAGAACTTGACCTGCGTCCACGGGGCGTTCGCGAGGAGATCATCCGCCGAGCCTCCCGTGGCCGGACACGGTCCCCTACCGGTGCCTGGCTCTTTTGTCGGGTCTGATCCCTCGGGATATGTGCTGTCAAGCCACTTCATCGAGCTGCCCGCGTCGTCCCAGACGCTGGACACCAGCACCATGCCTCGTTTCAAAGCATCGCCCATGCCCTTCATCCCGCCCTGAGTCGCAAACGCATTAACTCCATCGAATGTCTTTTTCTCCTGTGCGCAGAACTCATCCGTGATTGAGTTGCCCTTGTCGATGCCCTGGACCTGGACAAGCGCGTTCTCGATGATTTTGCCGTCCTGGACATACAGGCGGCGAATCTCGCGCAGATCGCCTGTGGAGTTGCCTGTCGTAGTGAGGAATTGCGTGACTACGGTGAAGGTACGGTTAGTGTCGACCGTGGCATTCGGCTGGTAGTAAGACAGTGCCCCCAGTCGGTACGGGTTGTAGTCGCAGCCGTCTTTGTCGCAGACGCCAGCATAACGATTCGTATTCCCGCAGGTCGAGCCGCTGCACTTGTAGACCTGGGTGATGTTGCAGGGGTGAGGAGTGAATGCTGTTGCTGCGCTGTTTGCCTCCCAGATATCCATCTCGTTGCAACAGGCCCCGTAGCCCTGCGTATTTGCCTGTGTAGCCCATTAGCTTTCGTTACGACAGAAACGTTCACGAATCAGGTTACTTGCCTCTCCATTGATGAATGCAGGCGTTGGGCATTGTGCATCACAGTAGCCCGTCCCGTAAGCCGCCCCGGCTGGGTTCAAGTCGCTGTGACCGCCGTCTGCAAGCATCTCGCTGAAGTAAAGAGCCCCATTAGATCCACATGGAAGCTTGCTTAAATCGACATCGAAGGCTAGCTCCCTGTTCAACATCGAAAACAGGTCGTAGGTGCTATCATTGGCGAGGAGGTAGACACGAGGTGAAGACAAGCTCACACCCTCAGTCTTGTTGACGAAGAGGTTGAGCGTCAACTCACTGCCATTAGTGATTACACCGTAGCTGCTATAGTCTGCCCCTTCCAATGCACATTTACTTGCGCAGGTCTTGGCGTCAGGACACAAGGTCGTGTTCAGCCCGGCTGGCTTGCAGTTATCATAGCCTCCCACAGTGTGAGTCCATCGGTAATCCGAGTCCAGCACGATCGAAGTGTTCTTCTGTACACATCCACCTTTGACAGTGCAGTCCCAGCTTGGCAATTGAGGGTGTATCTCCTGCGTGTAGTTGCCCATCTGCTGGGCCAATGCAGCAGATGCCAAAAAGGCAGACAGAAGAAAAGGCCGTTGAGTCATGACGGCGAGAGGACCTTGCAAAACGAGTGACGAAGGGGGAGTGAACCCTGGTGAGCGTAGCTCGGAACACCTTGGAAATAAGCCATGGTTATATGCTCGCAGACAACACTGCCCACCGGGTTTATAATATGCTTAGACTAAAGCCCAGCAATCTTGGGCATCATATTGCCAACGTACGCTTGTAATTAGACTGGAGATCCTCCGAGAACTTGGTCAAGGAAGATCAAGTAGTACCACGTATACTCATCCTGTAGTCCCTGTAGATATTGCTGTGCCATAATCACATACTCAGCAGCCTTGGAAAGTGAAATAGAACAAGAACGAATGCTATAAAAATAGTATACATCCATGGCAAGGAGCAAGAGGCGGTCATGGACGCCAGCTCGATGGGATAGACGTTGCCAAAGTGGATAGTGGAAAATGGAGAGACACTTCAGGAGATGACCTCACTATAGGAACGGGCCATCTCCTGCCGGCGCATCGCTTGCGGTGCGGATAAATTGAGGGAATGGGGCTCCTATGCAAGTCAATGCCGTTGGCACTCACGGGCAGCAGCCCCTGAAAATTCTATCCGTAGATATTAGATGCGACGATGCGAAAGTAACGTTGGATATACTCAGGCGCGGACTGTTGCCTCCGCCATCCAAATGTCGAGGTTCACTTCAGCTCAGTTCGGTTGTGAGCTGCTGCTGTCAATGCCGTGAGTGGCACCCCAGTCCCTCCTCCCTGTGGCTTGTCCCCCATCGGGAGCGATTTGGAGGGGTTCATGGTGGCTGAAGCTCTACCTAGATAGCTCCAATGAACCCCACCCCACTACCTATTGACCCTTATTCAACTTCCCCTCCTTCAAGAATCCCGATACGCGATATATCAGGCATCTTAAGTACGATGTCGTTAATACAGCTTTCGCGCCTCATTGACTTGCCGGATTCTGATCTCCAGCAAGTCCTCGACTACGCATTAACCCTCTCTAAAGTCGAAGCCGCCGACCATTTCAAGAATCTGCTTGGTGACTCACCACAGGCCATCGAGTTCATCGCCGCATTCAACTCCCGTCGACAAGGTCCCCCTGGCGCCGCCGCCTCCTCACTCAGCCAGACAACAAATCAACAGCAGATTCAAGAGCTAGATGCGGTTCCTAAAGCTCACAGGCAAACAAAGAAAAAGAAGGCACTGCTACACACTCCGGCACCACGACAGGTTGCCAGTCTAGGCCCTACGCCCGGCACTGCCTACAACAAGAAAGCGCTCGACGATGACTACATAATAGGGAGATCCGGCAGCACCACTCCGGTGAACAGCAGACCTCCGTCCAAAGCGCCAACCCCGAAATCTTCTACTCCTCCTCCCTCAAAACCACCGCCCTCTGCCGCCGGTAGTCTGGTCTCTGATCTATTGGCCGCTCCGAAGTCAAAACCAAGATCCAACCCGGTATCGCGAACGTCAACGCCTGGCCCTGGGTCAAGAGGAAACAACAACTCGACCAAGGTATCCATTGCTGGCGGCACTCCTATGCACGGTGCCTCGACTGCTCTCGACGATCTGGACGCAGCTATTCGATCACTCGAGATAACCACCAACCCCTCCCTATCAGGCACAGACGATGTATCCGCCCGGCGCTGCAACTGCGTTGCCACACGCCACCCCCTACAAACTGCGGCGCCGAACTGCCTGAGTTGTGGAAAGGTCATATGCGTAAAAGAGGGTCTTGGTCCTTGCACATTTTGCGGCACGCCGCTGTTGTCCCAAGCCGAAGTGCAGGCAATGATCAAAGAGCTCCGGCTTGAGCGTGGGCGAGAGCGCATGGCCGCAGACCGCGAGGCTCACAAGCGTCCTGATGTCGCAGGAACGCCGCGACCCTTCACAAAGGGCCGTGGAGAGGCAGATGGTGAAATGAGCACCGCAGAAGCGAAGGCTAGAGAACACAGAGACAAACTTCTTGGGTTCCAGGCTCAGAATGCGAGACGAACTACGGTGCGAGATGAGGCTGCAGACTTTGATGTTTCAGGAGCTATGGCTGGCGCATTCGGAGGCAATATCTGGTCTAGCCCAGAGGATAGAGCTCGTGAGCTAAAGAGACAGCAAAAGATTCTCAGAGAGTTGGAGTGGAATGCCCGCCCAGACTATGAAAAGCGAAAACAGGTCGTCAGTATCGACTTAGTCGGGGGCCGGGTTGTGAAGAAGATGATGGCGGTCGACCGCCCCCCAAGCCCTGATGAAGAGGTTACAAATTCAGAAACCCATGCTCTAGAAGAAGTCAATCCAAACCGAGGCGGCGGCAATGGAGGTACTTTCAGTCGTAATCCATTACTTGGCGGTATGATCAAGCCGGTTTACGATGGCAAGGGAAAAGGCGTGGAACTAGAGGGCCGCAAAGACAGGAAAACCAAGTGGAGAAGAGTTCAAGATGATTTGGATGACAACGAAGCTGTCATACTAGATGGCGGAATCTACGGTGGCAAGATGGACGGTAGCATCACGACAGGGGGAGATGAGCCTCCTTGTGGATAAGCGGAGAGATTTCTGAAGGATAGTTCGCCGTGACACACATGATGACTAGTTCCGGTAGGCATGGTTTTGGCGCAAGGAGTGCTGTGCTACTCCAGCGTCCAGATTGCCGAAAGCTCTTGGCGGGTGGAAGGTGAAGCATAGCAACTCAGGCAAGCTATATGGAATTTGTTGGAAGAGGAGGCCGCGAAGCTCAGAGCTTTTGCAAAGGTGATTTTCCACATGAAGCAAGATATAGCTTAAAATCGTATAACGATAGGCAAATCTGCTTAATAGAGGGTTCCATAAAGCAGATAGTTGAGGAGTGTCCAAAATGCCCCCTATAACAAAAAAAAATCAGAGAAATCTGACACTCAAGGCTTTTGCCTGTTTCCGATCTGTTTTCAAGAGATCAAAGACCAATATATTTCGCATGGAAATAAATATGCGAGACGTAGTGGTTTAGCCTTTCCGTGCATAGTTGTGAACAAGTCAATGGAAAATTGCATGAATACAGTCCGACACCTGGAGGTTCTGCTAAGCAACTTGGAAGTTCTTGCTCACATTGAAGAGAATACAATTGGTAGATTTTACGACAGTTGTCAGGCTAATTTGAAATGGGTTGCAAAGTGGAGCTCTTCGTCGTATTCATGAGCAACTTAGTAACCCAAATATTTGTCAGCGAAGATCATGACTCTGGCAACTTTTGACGATGAAGGACTGTGCCAGATAAGACAGTGAAAGTCATTGTCGAAATTCTGCAGATTATAGAAGACCTGATATTATTAAGCTAAGAGTGTTGGTCGGCAAGTCTGAGCGAACATTTGAAGCCCGGAGATCGATGGTTTACGAGCTGGAATTGTATATATACCGTTCCAAGCCCGTGAAGCTCTCAAGTAGAATAGTATATTGTATTATCTAGTTCAATATATTAATTGAGTTATACAAGATGTATATTGTCGATCGAGCGATTCCCTTCAATTCTACTGTTGTGGTAGTTGGGGCCAATGGATACATGGGGACTGAAACATGTGACAAACTGCTGGAAGCTGGATATCGAGTCCGTGGTACGGTTCGCAATGTCGAAAAACAGCGCGGCTGGATGTCTAAGCTCTTCGATGAGAAATGGCCTGGTAAATTTGAGCTTGTCCAGGTTCTGGACTTTGAGGTCAAGGGTGCGTTCGATGAAGCCTTCAAAGGTACCCGCAAGTTTCGCCATATTATATTGAATAAGGGACTCACATGTGTGCTCACGTCACTTAGGAGCCTCCGGAGTCATCTATCCTTCTATGCCAATGATCTTCGACTCCGATCTTGCCAAAGTGGCTGATCCTTTGATCAAGGGCGTGATTAACACTCTCGAGTCCGCATCCCGTGCCGGTGTGAAGCGTTATGTTCTGAGCTCCAGCTCTAAAGCCGTGGATGCCACAGTATATGGGGGGACGCCGCACGAACTGACAGTTGAGACTTTCAACCATGAGGCAATTAAGAGGGCGCGCAATGGGCAGATGACGGATACCTCTTTCCAGAGAATTGTGGACGTGTATAGTGCCGGACGAACACTTGCAGAGTTGGCATTCTGGGACTGGCTGAAGGAGAACAACCCACCGTTTGTAGCGAACTGCATCGTACCGGACGGCCAGTTCGGCCGGGTCTTGGATGTGGAGCATCTGAATACCGGCGACGCATCGTCAACGGGCCAGCTCAAACGTGCCCTCGAAGGAGATTGGCAAAAGGTCGGCTTTCCACTAGGCAAGCGCCCCTTACCTCAGGTGTTTGTGGTAGCCTGTGTCATGAGAGAGAACAGACACTAACTGAAAATCGCAAAAATAGCCTTCTATATGGACGTTCAAGACTCAGCTCGTCTACTAGTAGCTGCTGTTGCCTCGCCTTCGATAAAGAACGAGCGTATCTTCGCCTATCATGTCAACAGGACGTGGAATGATGTGAGGAACAAAACCCGTGAAGTATTCCCAGACCGCCCTGAACTGGTCAAGGGAGAGGACCAGGACTTGCCTGGGCGGGACCTGTCAACCGCGCCCGGACCCATCGCTCGAGCCGAAGAGATCTTGCGGTCGGTGGGCCAGCCTGGATTTGCGAGTGAGGAAGCCGTCATTCGAGATTTTGTAGCTTCAATGTTCGCTTGAGGGACGGGGGAACCGAGGGTCTGCTAGTCCTAGTATAGAAATGAAAAGAAGTAGTTTCTCTCAGGGACTCGCAATACTGTGGATCTGGGATGCCCGAAAGGCGTAATTGAAAGTCATCGAAAAGGCACCGAGCAACGGGGGAGGGTGGCCCGGACGCCACTATCTGCCGACTTTGAAATCTCTAGGGGTCCACGACTAGGACTTGCTGGGAACGTTTACGGTCGAGAGCGAGCCCCGCTGGCTGCTCTAGCTTAATGAGCTATTGATATCTGTGAAGCGGAGAGCATACGTTTACCAAGGAAGCATATCGAGATGTCATCCGCGACTTAATTGTCCCGGAACCGATTCCGCGCACTTCATAGCTTCGCGAGAACGTGTGACTGCCGTCTTCCTTCTGATAGATATATTGCAGCTTTGGGCGGAGCTGTAGGTCATGGTAAAGGAAACGCCTCGGATTTGGGAAGACGTCATCATCATGCAGGTTTGAAAGCCACCGCTGTTCTTTTGCTTTCTGGGACGCGAGTCGCATTAAGGGGATAGTGTAAAAGCAACACCTGCAGCGAGGCTGTATACCTACAGGTGGTGGAATTCCCGCGTTGAGCTGCAGAGCTGGACAAGCTCAATGCCGCGGAAGCCGATTTCTTGGTGTCCTAGGCTGGTATGAGTCTTTGGGCGTTCAGCAAGTTGTATGGACGGTTGTATAACTAACATGGGTCGATATCAAAGTGAGCCGAATGAGTCTCGGCCCCAGACTCGCCAGACTCGTCACACTCATCAGCAGCAGCCTGTCGAGTCATGGCATGTATCTGTCCGCGCACCGTCGAGATGGCAACAGACAGAGAGACAGAAAAAAAAAAGAAGTCAAGAGAGAGCAGTGTGTCCGGGTCCAGCTTGACTCTGGCATCGCGGCCTTTCTGCATTTGGAGACGCGGGTTGTAAGTGGAAACGAGACTATTGCTGGCGGTCCATTTTAGCTCGTGTGTAGACTACGCTTAGTTTGAGGCTTGCTCTTTGAGATCCCTACCGAGCCTATCTCGAGAGCCCTGTCATTTCCACCCGCCCACCATTCAGATCTCGCCCGTCATCGCCCCGTCCCCGTAATCAGATCGACTGCCGGGTTCTGCCCTGCGCTGCGCGCTGCCCTGTGGCAGTCCTCGTTCGCATCCACTGGCCTGGGATTTACCGAAACACGACAGGGGACCCCGATGCTCATCTCAAGCGATCTTGTGGGCTAAGCTACTCGTCTACTCCGATGGGCGATTTCAGGCTCGACTTGCCCTGGAGAGGACGAGCAGGTGGAGTTCTCGACGATCCCGACACTGTGGTCCAGACCCAACCCATGCGACGAGCCCTGCTATCTGCTATCTACTGTCTTTACTACGCAGAAATCTTCTGTTCGGCCTCTTCCACTCTTCGCTCTCGCTCCCCGGCGAATTGGGATCTTCTCGGCAAGAAAGCAAGCGTCGTCGTCGTCGGCGGCGGCGGCGGCGGGGACAAGAAGCTACTCGATGTCGCCATCAACCACGTGCGATTCAGCGCTACCGAGATGGCAGGTCAGAGCGTTGTACAGACAGCACTGTACTGTACTGTCGTCTGCTTGACAGCTAACGACTCATTACGAGAGCAAAGGACAATGCAGCCATTTGGCCTGTGCGCGCCTCTCTCTACCCTCCCCCTACCCTATGCTTGCCGTGTCTAGGCATTCCGCGCAGGAGGCACGACATCAGAAGCGTCACTGACCGCCCTCGCCGCCAGCAACACGACACGATATAGCACAGCATAGCCTATCTGGTCGAGCTACCCGCCTAGTTGCCCTCTTTATGGACTACTCATGTCTGGTCTGGCAGCCACCGCCGAGCGAGACCAGGGTGTCTGGTTCGTCTACCTTGCCCGAAACCAGCAAAGACCGCTCTTGGGTCGGCCCTCTTCGAGGCACTCATCGTCCGGCGGGGACAACCGAATGATGGTGGGGTACCGAAGCCTCGTACGCCACCTGGCGTAGGCGTCATGTTGATCCCTTGTCCTTGATGGTTCTGCTGGTGGTGGTGGTGGTGGTGGTGGTGGTGGTGCTCACTCCTCTCTCCTCGTTCGTTGATGGTGGTGGACACCGGGCTTACTGTGGCTCGGTGGGTGTGAACTTGCTTCCAAGGTCCCCCTTCCCATGGGTACCGCCGCTTTTGGCGGCCCCGCGGCCGGCGTCCAAAGTTTGAAACACTGGCATGCAGGAAAGCGACTCTTTTCTCTGATCCGCCAGGGAGAAATGAGGAGCATGGATTGCCCATATTAGTTGACCTCTGCCCGCTGTTCAGCTCTTCCAGCCAGGTCGCACGTAGATTAGCGGTCGATGCAGCCTCTGCCCTGTCCCGCCGGCACATATATTGCCCATTAAACACGCTCATTTCGGTCCCTCGTGAAGGAAGAAGCGCCCCCAAGCCCTCAGCTTACAAGGGCCAGCAACTCCGAAGCCTCTTGCGAGGTCCATCCAGGCTCCCAGCTGTCATTCGCCAGACGCCGGGTCACCACCCAGATTGCTGGCTTCGGGCGATTTTCCCTGCATGAGCATCTGATTTGATGCAATTTTTCATGTCCTGTCTGTCTGGTGCTCGGAGGCGAAAAATCAAGAACGCACAGCAGGCTGGTTCCACATCAAGGAGTACGGCAGACCGCCTGTCAGGCAATCGACACACATCCCGCACCACCCTCAAGCAGCCCGAAAGAGGACCTCCCCCGCAAAAGGACGAGCGACAGAGGCTCAGAGGACGCGAGGAGGGAGGGGGATCAGGAATCCCCTATCCACCCACCACCCACGCGCATACCGAGAGGCACACAGACGCTCGCTCGGCGATCACGTACGCATGACTGACTGGAGTGACTGGAGGACGGCAGCTTGCGAATAAAACTAGATCATCTCCACCAACACGCCGCGAGTCGGGGGCATTCCCTGACCATCACGACACTAAATAACACGGTCGGTCTCTGCCTTAAAAAGCATCGTCTGCCTCCACCTAGAATCCTGCGGGCACCCAAAAAGAGGACTCCATGAAACGCGCCCGTTGATTCGGAGGCAAGCGAGAGAATCACCTATTCCCTACCCCAGTCCGTAGTAATCAGCAGCAGCAAGCCAGCAGCGCCAATGCCCTCGCTGATTTCCCGGCCCCGCCTCCACAGCAGCAGCTCGCAGGACGCGACCCGAACGTCCCGTGCAGCCGACGACGTCACACTGCCTGTGGCCCTCCAGAAAACGCAGCACCTGCAAGGGGGTAAACCGGCTGCCAGCGCCAGCGCCGACAGGGGGCTGCACGACGGGTCCGGAGCAGAAACACGAGCAGAAATAAGTACCCGCGCCTCGCCAGGAGAACACAACGTTAAGGATAGCTCTGGTCTGTTCAACCGTCTTCTCCAGCGGGGAAAGAGCCTCAAGAGAAAGCCCAGGCCATCGTCGCGGGGGATCAGCGCCCCTAATCAACGTCCAGCTTCTAGACCTGACGAGGGTCCGATCGCTGGCACCAGCGTCAGCGTGGGGCAGCAACAGCAGCAGCAACAGCAGAGCTTCTCCAATTCCCCTCAGAACTTGTCTGCCCTACAACAGCAATCGCAACGAGATCAACCAAGAGCTACTACTCCAATTCCAGTAGCTCCGGCACTTGTCGCCGAGTCGACTGTGCCGCCCAATGCCCAGATTGCCAATTCCGTTCCTCAGCCCAGGAGAGAAGACATTTCGGGAACATCAACCATGGCAAAACCAATTGTCAGGAAACCCAGCTTACGGGATCGGTTTCGGTTGAAATCTAGTACAACGCCCTCACCAGAAGAGCAGAGGAAGCCGTCAGTCATTTACATTCCCAAGCATGCTGCAACCGACTTCTCGCGCATGGTTGTCACCTCTCGCCCGAGGGCGAGTTACTCCTTTGACGAGGACCGCACCCTCTCGCCCAGGAATGACGATTTCGGCGTGGACGCACATGCCCTTACAAAAGAACTCGAGGAGTTGCAGATCAAGCCGAACAGGCATTCAAGCACGCTGCAGCCTCTACCTGAGGCGGAACCAGACCCGTTTGCTCACGAAGTTCAGCTGCAGAACGAGCCTATCCCAAAGTCAGAATATCGAAGAGGGCACAGCCGAAACCAATCGGTGCCTTCTGCTAAACCTCGAGGACACCGACAAAGGCACTCTCAAACAAATGCAGCAGATCCGGGTGAGGTGCCTCCCCCACCGGCACCAGTATCTCACCCTCAGGCTCATCGACATAATGCGAGCACAGCATCTGCGCCATCCTCAGCTATTCCTCGCCACCTTGTCGACCAAGAGTCTGAGAAACAAGCCATAAATCAGGTAGAGCAGCATGCAGGACTGTCTGACTACGAACTTTTCCTCCAACGGGCAGAGGAAGAAGATCGGGCACAGCGCGAGAGGATGCTTCACGGCATCCCCTATCGTGTGAAAACACAACCACCGCTCAATCCCTTCTACACGACGAACTTTGCTCCTGTATCCGCACCAGTCCCCGCACTCGACGATATCCACGAAACGGATCACCAAGAGCAGACCCCTTCACATCCCTCCGACGCCCCTTTGATGATCCGCGCCGGCCTTGCAGCAGGCGGTGGCTCTCGTAGCAGCGGGACGCGGACAAGACGCGATAGCTCACAGTATGGATATCAGCTTCATTCCGGGCCTATGTCTGGAGGAAACCCCAATCGCGGAAGTTGGTCGGCGAGCAACGAGGCCGAGAAGGAGAAAGAACGAAAGGTGTCCGGCGGCGCTATCCCTGAATACACCCTGCCCGTCGACGCCAACTACGTCGGCGCAGCCTCTGGAGTACAGTATCAGGCCCGGGAGCCGCGGGGCTTGAAGAGACAGGGCAGCATCACTCAGCGGATTGCTGAATATATCAAGCCCAGTCGAGAGCGGAGCAACCACGATAGTCCTGTCGCCCCCGGGGCAGTACCTCGACGATGAATCCCGAGTTCGCGGAAAGCTTTTTCTTTTGTTTGTTGCGCCGGCGCTGTCTTTTAAGAAAATAGGTGTTGCCAGTTCAAAGGGACGAAGGTCAGTATCCGCTTTGTCGGCTTGTGTAGGGCCCACGAGGTTTATGAACGAATGAAGATATGACGAAGGATAGATGGGACTGATGATTTGTGGAGTTTGAGGAAGATCGCTCGGCAACTGAGCGTACGATTATGCGTTATAGCTATGCTGCTATTACTCGACTGGCACGATACAATGCTTGCTGTAGAGATGAAGCAGGACCATACAGGGAGATTTGCATTAGAACGGGAGAGCCTAGAGACAGACGGTCACTCATAGAGTATGCGGACGAATGCGTTTTGCAGGAATGTCTATAAGGAATAAGAGCAGACTTGCGGACATATTCGATGGGAAAGGAGGGTATGTATCATGGATCATGATCGCGGGCGGTACTGTCGCTTTCTTGCTTGGTATTTTACGTCGATTTACTCTTTGCTAAGCGGCTCTGCCAACGGTAACAAAATCGAAATATCAATACACATCACCAGACTTGACTAAATGTATCGGAAAGAGAGCGAATCTTACAACTTAAGCATTTGTGAGGATGACATGTATTACAGTTGCTCTATTCCAATCAGGATTTCCAGTTCGCCTCTGTGGTGATTGACGCCATCAAGGCAGGATCCTCTGCCCACTCTTTGGATGTTGATCTAACGCAGCGGCCGTCCAGACCACGAATGCCTGACTCATTCGCTCACCAAAGCCCCTGCCAAAATGTCATCGAAAAAACCCTCAGGCCATCATCAGCGCCATGAACACGGCAACAAGACCTCCACCAATCGCCTCCCTCGCCATTGTATACCCCCCAAGTGCTGCATCGGGGCTTGATGTCTGCGATGGTGCACTTGAAGATGTTGATGGAGACGATGTCGCTGTGGCATTGGAGTTAGGAGCAAGGACACCCCCGAATATACTAGCAGGAGACACATTGAGATCGAGCGCCGCAGCCGTCTTCTTGTAGTCTTGGAGCTTGCTGCTGTCGTTTTCATTCACAGTGCCTGCCATCCCGTCCTTGCAATGATTATAGCCAGCAGCACCTTGAGAGCAGTAGTAGACGAAGGGCTTGGTGTCGTTGATAGTGACTTGGAAGACAGTCTCCTGTTTATGGCAAGATAATCAGCTTCTGCAGGAGACTTGAGAACCCGGGCTATATGACATGACTTACATTCTCTCCGGTACCGCTCATCACAGGCCAGAAACCCGAGTAGAACCCCCCGGTCCCCGCTGGCTCACATGGCTTATCATAATCGCCCATGACAACGCTGTGGTTATGAGGCAGGAAGTGGAACTCCAAGACATCGCCCGTTGACGCGTTGACTGCCTCTGGTACAAAGACTAGGTCTTTTGCTAGGATCTTGATCGTTTCAGCATTGGCGACTGAAATAGTACTTGCAACAAGAGCGAGGCTTCTCATGACGATCTTCATACTGTAAGAACTGGAAATTACTATGAATTGAAGTTTAGGAGGAACTGCTAGATTCTCAGAGAATATTCCGTTCATCTCTGCAATAAATAACAAACGACTGCACCGTATGTATTGCTGCTATGAAGGAACTCTAAAGATGACATATTTTCAGTAGCGGATGAACATGGGTGCCGGCTGTCTGCAATGTAAGCCTCACAAGTATGTTGATCCATTGCCCGACTTTAGCAATGATTGGCTGCCTAGCTTGTTGACTTTGTATTCAGGAAGAAAATCCGTCATGGTACAACAGTCATCGCCTCCAATATGGAATTTTGTGCGACGTGCTGACGTTTCTTGTATTATACATGTTCCTGAGACCTGGACGTCGCTTGATTTTATTTTATTTTTACATACCCGTTATCTTGAGTAGTTGAGTTCCTAAGAAAGGTCTATCTCATAAGCACGCTATCCCTCAGTAATAGTACAAGACGAGCAATTGACCACTGCAATAGCACTCGCGGGAATTTGACCATATCCCTTGTCCAAATTCATGAGACTGTCTAAGGTCATCTGCCTGTCCCCTTGATCCCTCAATATCTGAAATAGGTCCAGCCCAAAGGGGAAAACGATGCACATTCATCAAGCCCGTGTTTCCTCCAAATGGGCTAAATCAAGTAAGACATCTTACTGCAGTTCACGGACCAACAGGAAACAACCAATAGACGCGCACCATCCTGCCGAATTCGACGATCGTCTCGGGAAGCGGGCGAACTGGTGGAACGTGGGGGCATCAATTGCCCCGTGGCCGTAAATGCTGGAAATTAAAAATTCTCACCAACTCCCTTTTGCGACCGAACAAAATGTCAAGCGAGCACTGGGATAACACATTCACAGCTCTAGATCTCTTGTTGCTCGGCGATGAGTAGCTCCTGAAGTGATCTAACAGTCGGCGACTTGGGATGGGTTGCAAATGTGGGCGGCTTGAGAAATTTGAGCCTCTTTGTCCCATTCTCGTCGGATTCGATCTTGAGATATTGTCGTATCTCCACCGCCACATGATCTTGGTGGTCATGTGGCTCCTGGTACGCTCCGAGGTCTTGGAGGTAGTCAATGACTGATTTTCCTTGCTTGTTCTTGCGATTGACGTCCATGTCCTTCTTCCACAGATACCAGATTCGACTGTTAAGGAAGCCGTCGATGTTCGTGGACTGAACGACCCAGGTGGGAAACTCGAGAATAGATCGCAAAAATAGGGAAAGCGGCGTGTCATCGTTTTCATCAACTTCATGAAGATCAGCACCGGATCGGAGGAGTAAGCTCAAGGTTTTCTTCCTCGGATGTCGATGCTCGTGATATGCATGAATTGCTGCATGGAGGTACAATCCCTTCGGCGCTCGGGAATCATTCCGGAGAGGATACTTGTCCAGCATTAAAGCTATGGCGTCAGTGTTGTCGCAGTCAATCGCCACTTGAAGTGGCGTTTTACCGGATCCGCTGGTCGGAGTTGAGTGAATATCGACACCAGTTTCCAGAAGGTGTGTCAAGAAGTTTTTGGAAGAGTAATCCAATTCTGATAATCTGGCAACCTTCAACAACATCTCTCTCGCATGTCTGTCAAACATTTGCGGTGACAATCCTGCTGCCAGCATCTTTGCAACCCCCCAGCCTCCCTCTGTCATTGCCCTTTGAAGGATCGTCATATGCTGCGAATCGTTCATCGACGGTATACCCTTTTGTAAAAAGTCACCAGTGAGAAAGAAGCTTTTACCATAGACGAATCTCATCAACGTGGTCGGTTCTGAATGCAAGTAACGTTTAATGTCGATATCTAAAAGGAATTCGAGCGCAACACTGTCTCCGTGGCGGTCGAAATGATCACACGCGATCAGATCAGCCAGCCTGTGTAGCTCGTCCCTGGTAAGAGGCACGATCTTGTCGCGCGTACATAGAAGTGTGTTGCAGAGTGAGAGGCTTCGGCTTTCGAATGCGACCTGAAATGCCGTTTTACCTGCCTTATTGCGGGCATGTTGATCCGCTCCTCGATCAAGCAGTAGTCGTACGATACGATCCCTCATTCCGTCAGGGCCCTTACTGAACTGACAAGCGAGATGGAGGGCTGGATTCCCTTCATGAGAATCCACTTCGTCGATGTTGCATCCGAACTTCAGAAATTCTTCAACAACATCAAGTGGGTCAATGGGCGGGTAGTATGTAAGAGGATTATGAGGACGTGGACGGCAAGCCTCCATCAGAGGTGTGAAACCGCCTTTATTTCGGATTTTGACGTCTGCACCAGCACCTAGCAGGGATTTGACAGCTGAGAGAATGCGGTGTTCGGCTGCATAATGCAGGGCAGTCGAACCATCTCCCGACAAGGCATCTGCCCGCGCGCCTTTCAGTATCAGCTTAGCAATAAGCCTTCGGCGTGAAGACTCGATCTCGTCACTGCCCCTTACTCTGTTGGGCACCTTGGCTAGCACCACGCCTAAGACAGTCGGGAATTTTTCTGGTGGTCGACAGCATGCGTGCAGTGGGGTGAAGAGTGCGGTGTTTGGCGTTCCGTGACCTTTCTCAACATTCGCACCGAAATCTATGAGTTTCATAGCCTCTTCAAAGTACCCATAGTGGCATGCTTCATAGAGTATAGTAGGGCTTTCTCTCATCCGGTAGCGAGATGGGCCTCTGGTGCCAATCCTGAAGTTGATATTGGCGCCTCTCTCCAACAAGAAAGGTATTGTGGATTCCCAACGCCCATTGGCGTACGCATAGTAGAGAGATGTCAATCCAACCTCATCATGTTCATCTACGTCTTTGACAAATTCTTTGTCGAGCAAATACCTGACAAGATCAGTCTGCCCAAATGCCGCCGCATGGTGAAGAGCCGTCATAGTCGACCGACCGGATTTGGTCTCCATAGTGATCTTTGCGCCTTTGGACAAAAGAAACTTGGCCGTTTCTATTTGAGAATTACACTGCATCATACATGGTGAGCCTTAAGTTTACTAAGCAGATCTTCCGATACAAGGAAAAAGCACAACACTTACGATAGCAAGATGAAGAGGCGTCCAGCCGGGTCGATCGTAAGGTAAGTCATCCTCGAAAATGGTAAGATGCGTATATGAAAACGCACGTTGACAGGTACACAAGGAGGTTGTGGGTGTGTCGATGTTTGCCCCATGATCAAGGAGGACCTGGATTATGTCCTTGTGCCCACACATTGCAGCGATGGAAATGACTTTGTAGCTATCACGTTCGTGCCACTCTTGGGAAGGATCGAAGCCATAGAAGCCACTGTACTCGTCATCATCGTCGTCGTAGTACTCCTCGAATGGATCGCCAATTTCATAGGCGTCCCCATATACATCCCAGTCGGCCAAGGAGATATCGGAGTCGTCATCATCAGGGGATCCGAAGCTATCAAAGGTATCGGGAGAGTCCCATCTACTGGGAATTGTTCGTAGATGCGATGGACGAATGACGTGAGATGTTGTGTCATCTCCATCGCCTGCTTTGGGCTCCCACTCTTGTTCAGGGTCCTGGCTTGGTTGCTTTGGGCCGACAGGACGGCTCATGATGATATCCATAGCTGGTCGCATAAACAAATTATTCAATGCCATCTCTGGATCGTATCCACCAGCCAGCGCATTGCGCAGAGTGCCAACATAGCCTTTATAGGCTGCCCACTTGAGAGGCCACCCACCGCGGCTGTTCTTGGGCGCTGTGTACAGAATCGGGTTCACCACTCCATAGCATGTTCGGTTGACTCGCGCCAGGGCATTCAGTTCTGAGGGCTGTGGGAGCTCACGAGCGATGATGGTGATGAGCTCAACAGGCAAGTCGGTAAAGTGGCTCATTGTGCAGGACGGGGTGAAGCTAGCGCTTCAATATAAGTTTGTCATGAGCCACCTTAGCCGCCTCAAGGTGAGCAAGGTGAGAAAGGTGAAAGAAAGGAAGGCGTCTGAACACGCAAAATGAGAATACCTCAACCTCAGGCTCAACCTCAGGCTCAGTTGCCTGGATCCAGTCAGTACAAGGTGCGCCACCAAGAAGGAACGGTGAAAGAAGTCCACCCGGCACGTTACGGTAGTCTGACGCGATTGTGCAGAGCGTGTCACTGCGCTCCGCTCCACTAGCCGGGAAAATCGACTCGATGACCTACCTATCCGAGGCGTCGCTTCCACAACAGCTTCCTGCACAGAAAACTGGTCAAGGCAGACGATATCTTAGACGCTTGAATATGTGGGGGAAACTGATAGGCGTGAAACTAAAGATTGAGGTGAGTGTCAAATGGCGTGCCTTCACCTTTAATGAGGTTTCAGACAAAGAAAGAAACGAAACATGGGAACCCAAGACAGGGGAGCTAAGTGGGTAGGACAGCTCTAAATTAGAGGGGAACCGAAACAAAGCCACGCGCAGCCGCTAGGCGCTAGTCCAGATACGTCCTACCTACGTAGGTAGACCCCTGACTAAACTGCCCCTTTGTACCGCCTCTCTAAGGCCCTCATCACATCTCACCTTCTCCATGAATGACCCAAATTCCATACTTCAATCAACCTTAAGGCCAGCTCTTTAGTAATTATTGGTGCATATCCGCTGATCTTTCAGAAAGTTTACCTTTGCCTACGGGCCTGGTAGATATCTATCTCCGCCACGGGAACGTGGAATACTCGGTCACTGATCGCCAGGGAAACTTTCCTGTGCCTTCCTACCCTCCTTATATAGCAACTCACTCGCCCTTGTCCGTCAGCGTATTGATGTCCTCTCTCATGACCGCAACGGCCTGCGCATCCGGTACTGCGACCGCTGATACTTTATCAATCCCAGCCCAATCAAGCAGCCGAAACTGCGACATGTGATAGCGCTCCACGAAGGCCGCGGTGCCAACAGTAGGATCACCGGGGTGGTCTAGCAGCTTGTTGGCGAACTTGTAGAGAGCCGAGACAAACTTGGTATCAAGTCCGAATACCGTCTTTGCGGCAATGCAGACCTGCTGCAGGTAGCCTCGCGCGACATCCCGCAGCTCATCACGCTCGAGGAAGCCTTGCACCGTCCACATCGGACTATCGTCCGGGTGCTGCGTCATACGAATGAGGCAGCGGACGACTTCGAACAGATCGAGGACCCAGGCCCGGCCAGACCGGGTGCGCGTGTAGAGGGTGCCGGCAAGGTAGAACTTTAAAGCCACGGCGTTTCTCATGTCATTGTACATGGCTGCGAGAGTTCGATTGCAGGACGGCAAGGGCTCCACATGCGCCGGCCATTTACCATCGAGAAACGCCTTCTTTCGGAGCGTGGCCATGTCCTCCTCAAACCTGTAGATCATTTGGACTGCGCGAGGATAGAGATTCCAGTAGATGTCAGACATCTTGGTCTCTAGATTTTTGAGTCCGTCTTGGCATTTCCGCAGATGCTGTAGGGGTTTCTTGCGGCTACCAATCTCCTTGAGATGATCTTTGATCTCCTCCTTGCATTTGTTGCCTGATGTGAGACCGTTAGCTCAGTGAAGCCGAAAAAGGCTTTGATGACTTCAATTAAGAACAAACTAACAGTTACAGTCGATCCTGAAAAACTTCTTGAGATCGTCTCGGCGTTGCAGCACATCGGCACGAGCATCGGTATAACACACGAAGATCTCATCTCCGGCTTTCAGTGACCGTACTGACCGCACACGCAGCTCATTTCCTTCGAAGAAGATATGTGTGTTCTCGTCGCATGAATGATTGATGAGAGAAACGACGTAGTCAAAAGAGGTGCCCAGGTTTGCCTCCTTCTCAGCCGCCTGTATTGTGAAGCAATTGGTTCTCAACTGCGTAAACCCCATTATTAGCTTTGATGACATGGAAGCGATACCTCATGGCTTTTAGGCCAATAGTTGACGAGTCCATAGTCAGGGATGAATACATACCATGCAACAGAGCTCCTGAATCACGTCAAGGCTGCAGGGTGATTCGGTATTTATTCTGGCATCAAGAGCTGAGAGAAGAGCTGATGGCGGGCCTTCGCCGTTCTCGGTATCAGACCGACAATGCTTGTCAAGGTGCATCTCGAGAGCTCTGAGAGCTGTGATTCCCTCAGGTTCCAATGCGCCAAGCTTGAACCAGTTGAGAATTCTCATCAGAGCAACATCAAGCACCGGAAGGTCTGGCTTCTGTTTCAGTGTCGCACACTCCAACTTGTGATACATCCGCCAAGCCTTCTTCTGACAAGCCTACAGAGTTCCGTTAGCAATGATCAAGGTGGATTTGTTGGAGTGTTCGATCCGGCGCGCGAACTGTACCTTCGAGCAATAGCAAGCAACCTTGCAACTGTTGCATCGAGCAATGGCTGGCCGCTTCTCATTCTCTTTATAGAACCGCCCATCTGCATGGCAGTTGCTCCAACTGTTCTGGAAGCACACGTCACAGACATCCTCGATATCCGGGTTTCGCACAGTGAGAAGTGGATGCGATCGGAAGAGCTCCTGCCCCTCGGCAACGTTCTCATCCACGAAGAGTCCCGATCCAGCTCCCACAACAGTGGAGGCAGCGATACGTAAAGGAATAGATTTGCTGCCTACTTTGTTCAGGAGAAACTGGCAGAGGTTCGGGTGGTCATGAATCGGGCGGTAGCGATCCCTATCGCTGGTCGAGAATGTGGCAGCCATCGTCTCAGATGGGAAGTATCCTAATTGGGGGTTGTAATAGGGTCTAATCCGTGTCTGAGGTCAATCGATGGGATGGCGGAGCGCACTGACGGAGCGCTTGACAGTAGCTCCTAGTCTTCGAGAACCGCTGGGTACTCGAGGAAGGTAGTGTCTTGTAGGGCCTGAGGGAGAGGATGGGTTGGAATGAAGTCACGTATTAAAGGGGGAAAGAGGGAGAGGGAATGTTATCGAAACCTGAGGTTTCGCCGGTCTCCTACAAGTCGCGGAGAAAAACTAGACAAGGCAAGAACGAACGAGTAGTGTAAACTTTAACATATTTCACTTCCTTTTAGAAGGCTCCTGGTTGTTGACGGAGTACATACTTCGAACGCGTCGGGAAGGAGCAAACTTGAGGATAATATGAGTTACATGTCATCACCCTCAGTTTGCCAAACAAACAATAGCTTCTCATAGAGCAACTATCAAACGTAACTTACTGACACTGATAAGATTATAAGTTTCGATCTCGTGGAGGAGGGAATAAATTTAAGCTTTATTCTAGAGGTTTCTGCGGGATAGAGATTTGACTTCAACTGTCTCAACCTATCTCGTATAATATCTAATTCGGTGCTCTCATAAATCATCAGTAATAGTAAGGGTGGTTTCATGAAGCTGTCAGGCAGAGTCTTCAAACAGACTTTTGATAACCTCTGTCCCAAATATCAGTCAGATAAGGTATCAGATAGAAGATCGATCCGCTGCATCAACACATCTTGCAACATGGTAATGCGCCAGCTTTTCTGTATAGGCTACGTTGAGTCACATTCACATGCATATCTTTCTTTCATCATGAGACAGAGAGCATTGGCCGAAATGGCAACATCATGTTTCACAATATGCTCATCATAATCAAGTCGTGTCCAGGCTGTGAAACCCCGTGAGCTATGAAACCCTTACCTAGTGCAAGTCACTGTATATAGGAGCATGGAATTCCCTTCATTCATGACCCATCAACAAGAGCAATTTCAGAAATTGCTCCAGCGGGCAATATGACATTGATTCCAATGACTAAAGTGCATTCATTCTTAGACTCGGGCTAAGGACACAAGCAACTCCAAATAATGTGTGACAAACAAGCATTGTTGAGTTGTGTTGCCGTATCTTAGTGGTGTTTTAGTGCTGTGGATCGGCGCAAAGTTCCCGATACCACAGGCCTTCTTGAGCCTAGCGGCCCCGCCTTCTTTACCGTTTTTTTCTTCCCCGTGTAGGGTGCCGAGGATTCTCCTATCAAAGATCTTCATAACATGCTCATCCAGTCATCACAGCTCCGCATCTCCCACAGTTTCTTATCTCCAAACCCCTGTCAGCAACCAAGAGTGGTGGATGTGGTGGGCAACTCAGTACAAGCAAATTGGCAACCCTACCCTATCTCGGAGGCGACCGACCATGGCTACACTCCAATTATAAGCATAACAGCCAGATTGCGCGTGTAGGTACATAATCGCACGTCAGTCTAGATATCTCAAGCTGGGCAGTACTTACCAACAGTCTGATTGACGCAAAGAACGACCCGAGGGAACGGTTGTTCAATCCCAGCCATGGCTCAATCTAAACTAAGAGAGTACTTCCACGTGGACTATCAGCCGGGTGAACGGTTGCTGCTACGGAAGCTTGACTTCTTCATCTTGACCTTTTGCTGCCTGAGTTACTTCATGAACTATGTATTTTCTATTAATCGTCTTCTCGGTTTGCATTTTGCTGATCTCAATGTAGCTGGATCGCTCCAATCTGGCGAACGCATATGTCTCGGGCATGAAAGAAGAGCTGGGGTTTGTTGGCAATCAGTTAAATGTTATTAACACTTGTTTTACCGTCGGGTGAGTCCTTGGTCTTCTTTGCTACTTCATCTCTCCCTCCAACTAAGCACTCGGCCTAGTTATATTCTGGGACAAGTTCCTTCGAACCTCTCCCTGCACTATGTCAGACCTCGTATCTGGTTTCCTCTAATGATGGTCATTTGGTCTGGGCTCACTATGGTTACTGCTTCCGTCCATACACCCAATGCAATCATGGCAATCAGATTCTTTCAAGGCATTTTTGAGGCCTCAACCTTTGTAGGCACCCACTATGTCCTTGGATCGTGGTATACGGAGCGAGAACTCGGCAAGCGGAGTGGTATTTTCACTGCTTCTGGACTGGCTGGCACCCTTTTTGGTGGATTCATCCAGACCGGGATTCACTCTAGTATGGAAGGTCTCAACGGCCTCAGCGGCTGGCGGTGGCTCTTCATCATCGATGGTATCATCACGCTACCTGTGGCGCTCTACGGCTTCCTCGTGTTCCCAGACACTCCGAGCAGAACAACAGCATTCTATCTGAGCGAGAATGAGCGTGCACTTGCCGTATCTCGGGTGCCTGTGCTAGAGGAACAGTCACCTATCACCTTGCGTTTCTTCAAAAAGGTACTATTGTCATGGTATTGGTGGGGATTCGTTGGTCTCTGGTGCATTGCTGGAGAAACAGAGTCTTTCAGCAGCAACTCGCTCTTGGCGCTTTACATGAAGAGTCATCCTTCCGTCAAGTACAGCATTCCGCAGCTCAACAATTATCCTACCGGAGTACCAGCCGTTGGCATTGCCTCAACGCTTTTCTGGGCGACGCTGACCGACTTCCTGAACGGCAAACGCTATCTCGTCGGTTACTTCATTGGGATCACTGGCATATGCACATCTGCCATGATCCTCGCGGCGGCCCGAGACCCAACGAGCTCACATTCAACTGCCACCGTATTTGGAGCATATTACTGGGCAGGAGCGGTCTACGCCTGTCAGGCCACCTTCTTTGCTTGGTGCAATGATGCTATGCGCTACGAGGAGAATGTTTTTCGTGCAGTTGTTTTAGCTGGCATGAACATGGGAAACAACGCCATAAATGCATGGTGGTCTATAATTTTCTATGGAGCATCGATGGCTCCTTGGTTCACTGTAGGTGCTCAACTTATCGTCTAATTCGAATTGAGTTTGCTAATTAATGCGGCAGCGAGGCATGTGGGCAATGATAGCTTGTTCTATTGCCTTGGCAATTTGGACTGCTGGACTGTCTTTCCTCACTCATAAGGATGAGAAGAAAAGGGCAGCGATCGAGGCTGCCGAGGCATCCGCTGCCAATAGTGCGGTGTACAAGACGCCAGAAGATGTATAATTTTATGCATATTGTGACAACGAAGTCTTTGACTCGATAAACAACGTAGATACCAGTCTCTTCTAAGTGTCCTCCAGATCAATTAATTTAGATATTGCAGTAGAAATACACAAAGATAATCGCCTACCACGGTCCAATCAGACTGTTTCTAAGATCTTCTTGACGGTAGAAATTGCCTTCTCCTCTTCCAGTCGCCGGGCAATGAGCTGAAGGCTGATAGGCATGCCATGAACTGCACCCGCGTCGTCTTTCATTATAATCAGTCGTGCCACCTCTAAAAGAATTGTACAAGTCTGTGAAATGACAGTAACTTACATTCTTCATGAATTATCTTGCACACGTCACCGAGTGGTACGTGTGAGTCTCCCAAACCCACGTCAATGTCTTTGTCAACGGAAAAGCCACTGGGAAAGGAAACGCAAGAGTAGTCCAGAATGTTATAGACACCGGTATATCCGACTGGTGGAGAGAAGTTAGTATCACACCCAGAAACGGGCTTGAACATGTACATAGCAGACGAAAACTTACCGTGTTTGAAGGTTCCATGTTTCACGGTGCTGAAAGGTGTTGTTGGCGCAAGAATAGCATCGATACCAGCCGCATTCCACCGGTCGAGATATCGCTTCTGGAAGTCAACACGCTCAAGGTGCAACTTCCACATGGCAGACGTACCCAACTCCGTAGCAGTCTCATATCCCGCCATCTCAGGGCGCCACGGTTCGCCGCCGCGCTCGACTTCAGCCCTGATTGCAAGCCCGCCGTCTGCCACAAACATACGTTCTAGAAGACTCAGACCCTGTTTCTGATCGGCAGGATCCCAGTCAATGACTTCGTGTCCAGCTGCTCGCAGCCTGTCGACCGTACAACGCAAGGCTCTCGACACTGGTGCGGTGGGATGGACCATTCCATCGTGCCACAGAACAGCAATCTTTAGCTTCGCTGGCAATTCGATAGACCGCCAGGGCAACGGCACGCAACGCGGATCGTGTAGCCACGGCTCTGAAGATACAACTGTACGGCTATACATATCTATGTCGTCGATAGTTCGAGCCATTGGACCGTTGACAGACTGAACGGCTTCCTGCCCCGGCATTCCAGATCGACAACGCAAGGTCGGGAAACGGCCAAAGGACGGTCTCAAAGTAAAGATGCCGGAACATGCGGCAGGGATTCGCAGTGAACCTCCGATATCAGTACCTATGCCCAAGGGACTGCCATTGAATGCAAGCAGCGCTGCCTCGCCTCCTGAGCTACCACCACTTGTGAGATCACGATTTCGTGGATTCACAGTGCGTCCAAAAACGTTGTTGACACTTTCTGCTATCATCATTGCTGTTGGGACGTTGGTCTTCACATAGAAAACCGCCCCGGCTTCCTCGAGAACTTCGGCGAGGGCGGCATCATACGGAGCAGGATCGCCGATGTGTGACACAAATCCAACAGTTGCATCGAGTCCCTTAAGGTTAAAGTTGTCTTTGAGTGAGATTGGAAGCCCATGAAGTGGGCCTATTGGCTTCCCAGTGCGTGCAAAGTGCTCGTCTCTGGCTCTGGCGGTTGTGATAGCTCGGTCGAAGCAAGTTTCGGATAGACAATTAGTCTAGAATATTAGTAAAAGTTCCTTCCATGGCTGAGTGGTCAGAGTCAAGTACCAGTTGGTGTGCAGCGCATGCTCGCTTGCAGAAAGCTTTTGTCACTTCTTCCGACTTCAGCTCACCTGAACTCAGCTTCGATATCAAATGGCTGGCATCGCACTCAGTTATAGCCAGTTCCTCTGGTGTAAACCATCCCGAAGTTTCCGGCCACTTTGTTACATCTAATTGAGACTCAGGCGGCAGTAATTCACCTGGGATCCTCCACTCGGCTGGGATGGAAGCTAGCAAAGCAGCTCTCTTCTTTGCCGCAAGGACTTCCCAAGATGCCTCATCTGTAACCTTTTCAGGTGGCGCATCTGTGACCACTTGGGATCCATTGGCCAAATTTACTGGTCCCTCGTTTATGGTCATATTTCTCAAAACGTCAACCGGACCAAGTAAAATGTAAACTCGTAAATATGTACAAAGAATAGATTGCAACACAGCTTGGCTTTGCGCACCACCAAGACGGCAATCACCGACCCCGGCTCTAATAACATACTCGCCTTGCCTGGCACTGCGGACAGTTCCCACCACTACTACACCTCCTGTAAGGGAGAGGGGTTGAGAGCCTGACGCTATCGGATGATCGATGGCATCGGGCAAACGCCAACCGACAAACTGCAGCACTTTAGGTAAAGCGTCGGGATAAGACGTGTGCTATCTGGTGTGGTGTAGATAAGGTTGGCATGCATGTAACAGATCATTACGAGAGATTATAAAGAGACAGTTCCCACTCGGGAACCACCGAAGTAGTCGTTATTATGTCTTATCTAGCAGACTTCGGATGCCTCTGTGGAGAAATATGGACAGTTCCATTTATTCTCCCCACTTTTGATAATTCACTTACAACAACAGCCGCAGCGAACATCAGTTTCCGGTCTTCGTCTACCTTGGGATAGTAAACATCAAGTCGCCTAAGTCCTCAATATGGGAGGAGCTTGTCAATCTTATGTATGATATGTATTCATGAGTAAATGAGGAGATAACCCATAATAATTGGACATTGTTGCCATATATGCGCATGGCATCAACCCGGACACTTTCCATTTCCCTGAAAGAACCTTACTATGCCTACACGCTATGACATAAATACTGAAATTTGAATAAACTGTGTCTTACAATCCCTGCAGTGCTGTCGGTCGAGGACAGACATTCAAATGTTGTGCTGGGATCTCTTAAGAATGAAAGTCGTGGTGTACCCAGGTGCTGCGATATGTTCGACAAGTTGCGTAGTCACTTCAAGATTGCAGTGATGACAATCAACTGTCCATGTATCGGTGGTAGCAACGGCCATGCTATCCATGTTCCAACCTCGATCGGCTCGTGGACTGTCAGTGTCGTGGTGCATCTCTGTCGATGTCCAGGCACAGTTGCCGATGGGAGAAGATCAATGGTTTGCGTTTGATTTAAGCTGGGTAACTCGTTAGATTGCTAAATCTCAACAGATAAAGTGGGTAGATCCATACCTAAGGTATAATCATCCGTTAACTCCTCAGGAAAGCTCTCTGAGGGTGTAGCCAAACACATATAAGTCGTTGATGTTGTCGGCGCTGTGGCGGTCTCAGTAGTTGTGAAGACCACTGCTGGCCCCTTGCCAATGAAGTGGACTGTAGATGTTTGCAGATTCGCACAACCCTCGCAGTCAACCCAGGCGGTTGCTGTCTCGGTCTCCGTCCATATCGTCTCTACCGGTCCGAAGGTCAAATGCTGTGGAACTGGTTGTGTGATTGTACATTCTTCAGCACTGATTGTGGAAGAAGCTGGCTGTACTGCACCAGTTCCCACAGCACGATGGGGGATAGCGCCCTTATGAGGTGTCTTTTCAGCCGCGCAGATTGTGCTTGTCACTGTTGTAGGCTCCACGGCGGTCACCGTACCTGTGATAATTTCAACAGGTCCAACACCACCCCAGAACAGGGCGGGCCGAGTTGTTAGGGAAAGTCGACAGCCACCACATGGAACGCGAGAATAAGCGGTACGCGTTGAAGTGTAAACAGTACGTGCAATTGACGGCGTCCAGTGACCCCTGAACCCGTAAACAGTAGAAGTGAGGTATGTTGTGCATTGACTGCTTGTAGAGGTAGAATGACGAGAGTCAAGGGGTGGAGGAATAGGAGCTGGCAATGGATTGGCAAAAGCACCAAGTGCCATTACCAAACAATACAAAGCAGTCGCGGTGGTCATCTTCTACACTGATAATGTGTCCTGGTGTGTTGTATAGCGTGATGATAGTGCTCATGAACCAGTTTCCGGATCACGGAGATGATTTATATGAAGGCTATAAAGCATTGCTTCATGCAACTCATGAATGATAGTAAGAGTCCACAAGCCACAAGGTTCAACGGCTCAAGAATAGAATACACTTTCGAAGTCAAAAAGCTAATAAGTAGCTGTCACCGGGAACCAACAAGCTCCGAATGGCGATACTTTCAAGCTTGCGGCCGTGTCAACCGTTAGATCAAAGCTAATTGGACGGGCCCGAGGAATGCGGGAAGATGAGTTAGCGGCAGGTTGTGTAACCATTGTCAAGTTCTTCGAGAGGCGCAACGGAGGGTCTAGGCAGACTGGACTGGCCTGTGGCATGATGACCTCTCAAAATTTTGCAATTAATCTAGCAATCAATGGATTGTTTTCAGTGCAACGCCCCGAAGGATTCGATCCTTTGCGAGTAGCTATAGCCTGGACCAGCTCTGACAGTTGCTAATTAGTCGTGACGGAAGTTCCAACAACGCTGCAACCAACGCTGCAATCATGAAATAACACTTTTCCTCATGCGGAAAAAACAAAGAAACATGAGTATTGGCCATGTAGAAAGGGGCGTAAAAAACAACATCTTGTTAATTATCCCGTGGATAGATTAAAGCAGCCTGGGATCCGATATTGACCAGCATATCAGGCTATTGATACCGCCTGCACTAGCCAACTTTGAATTCGCAGGCTGCATTAGAGACCGGCCAAGCCCCTATGCAAACCGGGTGGTTGGAAGTCACTGACCTGCCCTGTGTGGTCCGGTATGGACGCCTGTGCTGTGATCCAGTAACGACTTATTAAATATGTCTTCTATATGGAATGGCAACTTTACGACCATTCTAAGAATGACGGTGCCATACAAAACACTCGAGTTCATGGCGTAGACTTGTGTCACAAGGCATAGGAATGTAGAAGCTTGACAGATCATGATGTCTCAGGTGATTAGGTCAGTGCTCAGCTACTGCCAATTCAAGCAATGCGGCGACTCGGGGCGGTAGCGGGCGGGCGCCGGCCCATGTGTATAGACAGTTCATTGCGTCAATCATTCAAAGGCAAGACATGACTGTGAGACATAGGCGTTTCTGACGCGTAATCATGCGGTATAGGTAAGCCATACTCTTTCAAGCTTTCTTCAGGAACCGTAACCATAGGCAGTCGAGGCAGTGGCCATGACAGCAAGAAAAAAGCTCAAAATAGCTGGATGCCTAAAAAACGCCTTATAGAACGTACAAAACAGGACTCAAGGCTGAATGGAATATAGTGGATTTTTGGTGGAGATTGTTGGGTCCCAAACAAGGTTTGTCAACGACCGTCAGTATGAATGTCAGTAGATGACCTATCTGTACGAACTTCGTTTGGCAACTTTGTGGCTCATGGGCTGCGGTGAGCTAGCATCATCAGTTTGTGGACGGTTGGTCCCATTCGGCCTGTCAGCTCCAGATTAACTTTGCGGAGAAACCTCGACATTAGATGATTAGGGTCACATCGTTCCTTTCGCCCTCGATACTTGCCGATTCAAGTTGCATTTTCCAACACAATGTTCCAAAGTTTTAATCCCTCACAAAGTTCATAGCGAGACATGAGCATGGCTGACCTGTGGTGATGGAGCTTCTCCTCGTCTTCCAGATACAGGAAAGAGTTAGGCATACATCGTAGCTCCCGAGAAGCGAGCTCCAAACCCCGACTTTGTCTCAATTTTAGAGCACATGGATTTCTTGGATGATAATGTAATTGGATTCATCGGCGACCAATTGTTGAGTTAGTCATTGTTATAGTTATGATATGAGATTATCACACAACAATCACAATGTGACACGTTTCATCACATTCAGTGAACCTATGGATTTCGAAGTTGCCCTGACGCCAAGATGGCAAAGATGTCAACAGTGGC